GGGCAGCGTGGGAAGTCTGCCAGACGCGGTGGCTGGAAGTCATCGACCGCGAAATCGACGGAGGGCGCCGACCGCGGGAAGTCGGCGAAAGGTGGAGATCGCGGCAGCAGTGGCTCGCGTCGAGAAGGCCGTCGCTGCTACATCTGCGATGCTCCCGACCACCTCTCGTACGACTGCCCCGACCGAGACGAGTCTGACGACGACCGGGACGCCAACCGCAGAAAGGGAGATGGTGGCCGTTGTCGTCGGGACAACCAGCCGGGCAAGGAGAAGAAGCCGTCGAAGACGTCTTCGACGAAGGATGCGGACTCCTCTGGCGGCAATGCTCGTGGCGAGGAGGCCTCGTGCTCGATGGTCAGCGTGGTAGAGCCGACGATCTCCCTGGCGCTGGAGGCTGGCGAAGACTTCAAGGCGGTCGCTGCTGCTGTGCAAGCCAATCCGACAGTTGTGCTGCTCGACAGCGGCTGCTCCCACCATTTGATGGGGATGATGGAGGCTTTCGTCGACATGCAGCCGAGCGGAGATGTTCGACACGTTCGCGGCTTCAACGGGGCACTTCAGAGCGTCGAAGGCAGAGGCACCGTTGCTCTGCAAGGGGAGGCCGGGAAGCAGGTCCTCGTCCCCGACGTACTCTACGTTCCGGGTGTGCACGCAAACCTGCTGTCTGCTGGCCAACTCAAGGAGAACGGCGTGAAGCTACAGTTTTAGGGCGGAGAGATGCTGCTGGAGTCTTCTGCCGGCGATGTTCTTGGTCGAGCACGCTACTTCGGCAGAGTACTCTGCACCGACCTGCGCCCCAGCTCGACGAAGTCTATGATGACTTTGAAGGAGGTTGTGGCTCTGCGGACGATCGCGCCAGCGACGAAGTTGATCCCGGACATGTTGCACGCACGGCTTGCGCACGTCGGCGTTGACACGATCAAGAGCTCGGCAAAACATGAGGTCGCCGCCGGTCTGGACATCAAGAACTCGACCGCGGCTGATCTGCCGTGTGCCTCCTGCGTCGGCGGCAAACTTGCACGGCACACCTTCCCCGACCAAGGATCGGACGCCGATAACGCGCTTGATGTGGTGCACATCGACCTCTGCGGGCCATTTCGAGTGGCCGCCAACGATGGCAGCCTCTACTTTCTTCTGCTGAAAGATCGGAAGACTCGCTACGTGTGGGTGAGGCCGATCGCGAAGAAGAGCGACGTGCTGGTCGTCTTCGAAAAATGGCTGAAGGAGGTGGAGCGGCAGACGTCGAAGACGATGAAGAAGTTGCGTTCGGACCGCGGAGGGGAGTTCCTCGGTCGTGCCTTCACCGCCCTCGTCGAGGACAAGGGCATCCTCCATAATCTGACGTGCCCCTACACTCCGCAGCCGAACGGGATGGCCGAGCGGGAGATGCGCACGGTGGTCGAGGCCGTGCGTACGATGCTTCTGCACATGGGCGTGAAGCAGCATTGGTGGTACCTCGCTCTGCGACAGGCCGTCTGGGTGCGCAACTGCCTCGAGCGGGCTTCTCTGCCGAAGGGAACGACGCCCCACGAGCTGCTGTTCGAGAAGAAGCCAGATTTGACTCTGGCGCGGGTGTGGGGCTGCATGGTGCAGTTCATGGTCCCCGAGCAGCAGCGCGGCGGGAAGCTGGCGCCGAAGGCTCGTTGGGGTCTTCACCTCGGAGTGTCGGCAGAGAGCAAGGGCTGGGAGGTGCTCGACCTGACTGCCAACAAAGTCGTCACGACGGTCGAAGCAATCTTCTACGAGAACATGTCGATGGAGAAGGGGAAGGCCGAGTACGGGCCGGCGTCGACGAGAACGCCGTTTGCCCCGCCACCGGATTCCTCCTCGGAGATGCCTCCTCTGCTCGCCAACGTCGATGAGCATGATGATGAGGACGTAGAGGAAGTCCCACTCCCTCCTCCTGTTTTGCCCTCGTCGGCCGTTGGCAATGAGGGGAGACTTGGTGCGTTGCCTGCGGCGCCGACCGGTTGCATCGCCGGTGGCCGACGTGATGCCGAGAAAGTCAGCGACGGGAAGCAGTAGACGACAGGGGAGCTGTCGGCATCGAAGCCGACTTCAGCGAAGCCGTCGGCAGAGGTGCCACTTGCAGAGAAGCTGCTCGCAGAGGCGCCGAAGCAGACTGCAGAGAAGTCGCTGGCAGTGGCGCCCGCTTCAGGGGAGCCGTTGGCAGAGAAGCCGATCCTGGGGGAGCCGTCGGTAGAGGAGCTGCCGACAGGGGAGCAGTTCGACGACGACTCGTCGAGCGACGACGTTGTGGAAGTCGTCGCTGCGGCAGGTGGCGGAGAAGGGGAGCAGTCCGAAGACGACGACGTGGTAGAGTTCGCAGTCGAAAAGGAGAAACAGCGCCGTTCTACCCGCCCCAACATCGGCAAGCCGCCTGAGAAGCTGAGCTACCACGCTTGTCTGCCGCCGACGGCCTACAGCACTCTTCTCGTCGATGCAGAGGACGACGTCGATCTGCCCGAGCTCGACCCCGACATGCACGCCGACCCAGAGCATCGCACGGACATCGCCAACATGACGGTGAAGGAGGCGTTCGCGAACTGGAAAGGCAAGGCGGTGAAGGCTGCCATGGACGAGGAGATCAAGAGTCTCATCTCTAACGGAACGTGGGAGCTGGTCGAGCGTCCGCGCGGTGTCAACGTGATGAAGAATCGTTGGGTACTCACGACGAAGTACCACGTCGACGACACGGTCGCCCGAGAGAAGGCGCGTCTGGTGGTGAAAGGTTTCACACACGTTTACGGCGTAGATTACGACGAGACGTACGCGCCGGTGGGGAGCTACGTAACTCTGCGGATCTTCCTCAGCATCGTAGCAGTCCTCGATCTGCACCTGATGCAGCTGGACATGAAAAATGCGTTTCTGCAGAGCAAGCTGGATCGCGTCCTCTACATGTACCGGCCCGACTACTTCAACGACGGAACCGGGCGCGTCTGCAAGCTGCTGAAGAGCTTGTACGGACTGAAGCAGAGTCCGCTGCTGTGGTACTCTGCACTCGACGCGGTGCTAACTGGCGCGTGCTGGAAGAAGATCCAGGTCGATAAGGCTCTCTACTTCAAGGTTGGCGACGACAGCGTGGCGTGCTGGGTGCTCGTCTACGTCGACGACCTGCTCGCTGCAAGCAGCAGCACTGCGATGCTGAAAGAGCTGAAGGAGCTGCTGGAGGCCGCCTTCGAGCTGCGCGAAATCAGCCCGGTCGAGAAGTATCTCGGGCTGGAAATCGTGCGCGACCGTCCTGCGCGGAAGGTGTGGCTTCACCAGCAAGTCTACGTCGACAAGCTGCGCAGACGCTTCATCGACGAGGAGCAGACCGGGCGAGTGCCGAAGACGCCGGTCTCCGTCGACGCCTACGCAGAGCTGCTGTTCGACGACGAGGACTTTCAGTCGCGCGAGGAAGCAGAGTACCGGCAGAAGGTCGGCTCGCTGCAGTTCGCGGCCACCACGACGAGGCCCGACATTGCCTTCGCTTGCAGCAAGCTCGGATCCGGCCTGACAGTGCGGAGCGACAACCACTGGCGTGAGGTCAATCGCTGTCTACACTACCTCGCTGAAACTCGTGACGCCGCTCTGGAGTTCGGCGGCGGACCAGAGTCGCTGTGTCTGGTCGGCTATGCATATGTCGACGACGCTGGTGACAAGCAGAATCGGACGAGCACGGGCGGCTACGTTTTCATCTTCGGAGGAGCCGCAGTCTCTTGGTCGAGCCAACGCATCAAGTGCGCGACACTTTCCTCGACCGAATCAGAGTACGTCGCAGCTACCGAAGCCGGCAAGGAGGCTCGCCGTCTACGCTTCCTCCTTGCAGAGTTCCGTCTGCTCGACCCAAGGAAGCCGACTGTTTTGCATGTGGACAACCAGTCGGCGATCACTCTCGCAGAGGGCTTTGGGCTCAAGGGCAACCTCAAGCACATGGAGCGACGTTACGACTGGCTGCATCAGATGGTGAAGCGCGGAAAGATTGCTCTGCAGTACATTCCGACCTCCGAGCAGCCCGCAGATTTTCTGACGAAGGCGCTGCATTTTCCGGCTTTCAATCGGCCAAGTGCGTCTGGCTGACGTGGGCGACGGGGATGACGATGTGCAGCAATAGGTGCCGTGCCCTTTCTGCACGGCTGGTGCGGTGATCTACGTGCTATGTGTTCGGTGCACGTAGAAGGAATTTTCTCCTTGTACTCTATCCCTCTGGGTTCTGGGTGGACCTTGTGTGTGGGTGCCCAATCGTGAGCTGGGCAGGGGAGTGTCGAAGAGAAGGCCCCGCCCTCGCTTGGGCGCAGCCGATCTCGCCGTCGACGGGAAGTTCTCGACAGATTGGTCGAAGAAGTGGGCTTCTGCAGTTCGACGGAAGTTGCGTTCGAGCAGGCTCTGCTCGACAGAATCTGGTCGACGAGCTCTGCGCGACAAGCTCTGGTCGACGATCTCTGCGCGACGAGCTCCGGTCGAAGAGCGCTGGTCGACGGTCCTGGTCGAGGAACTCTGGTCGAAGAGTTCGGGTCGAGGAACTCTGGACGAAGAGTTCGGGTCGAGGAGCTCTGCTCGGCGAACGCTGTTCGACCGAGCGGTGTCGAGCTGATCGACCGAAGTTGCAGAGTTGTGCGAAACTCTGCGGGGGCGTGCGAACTTTCGCCCAGGAGGTTTTGGCAAAGTTCTACCTGCGGAACGGCATCATGTGGTCGACGGTGCGCACCTGGCGAAACCGACGACACGTTTTCTACCTGGCACCTGCGCAATGTGCCTGACGGTGAAACCGCCAACCTGCACCTACTTGGTAGGTGCGCACATCTGCGCAGATAGACAACATGCGACTGCAGATAGTTACCTGCGACTGCAGATAGTCACCTGCGACTGCAGTGCTGGCAGACCGCGCGCAGTGCAACGTTGGCAGATCACTCTGCTGCAACGTTGGCAAGCCGCTCTTCTGCTGCGCTGGCAGATTTCGCCCTTGCTAGGTTCTGCATGCCATTCTAGTCTTTTCATTCTGCATGCCTCAATTGTAGTGACTCTCCGCAATATCCTCCCTTCCCCCACTGCCATGACCTTTCCCTTCCCCCACTGCCTTACCCTCCTTTCCCCCACTGCCATGCCCTTTACCTTCCGCCACTGCCATATCCTCCCTTCCCCCACTGCCATATCCTCCCTTCCCCCACTGCCATATCCCCCCTTCCCCCATGCCATATCATCCCTACCCGCACTGCTATATCCTCCTTTCCCCCACTGCCATATCAACCCTTCACCCACTGCTATATCATCCTTTCCCCCACTGCCATGACCTTTCCCTTCCCCCACTGCCATGCCCTTTACCTTCCCCCAGTGCCATATCCTCCCTTCCCCCACTGCCACCTCCCTTCCCCCACTTCCACCTCCCTTCCCCCACTGCCTCTTCCCTTCCCCCACTGCCTCTTCCCTTCCCCCACTGCCATATCCCCCCTTCCCCTCCAGCTATATCCTCCCTCACCCACTGCTATATCCTACCTTCACCTTGCAAGCCATGCCCTTTCCCTTCCCCCACTGCGATATCCTCCCTACACGCACTGCCATATCCTCCCTTCCTCCACGGCCATACCCTCCCTTCCCCCACTGCCATATCCTCCTTTCCCCCACTGTCATATCCTCCCTTCCCCCACTGTCATATCCTCCCTTCCCCCACTGTCATATCCTCCCTTCCCCCACTGTCATATCCTCCCTTCCCCTCATGCTATATCCTCCCTTTCTGCAATACCACACTGATCCGTCCACTGTTTGCTGCTCAATGTCGTGCACCAGTGTGACATTACGCAACCCCTCACGCAACGCCAATGTATCTCGTACATCGCCTCTCACCCTGCGGAACTGCTTCCGCAGGCCAACTACATCACCCCGGCGAAGCAGGGACGCCAACAGGGGCAGCGTGGGAAGTCTGCCGGACGCGGTGGCTGGAAGTCATCGACCGCGAAATCGACGGAGGGCGCCGACCGTGGGAAGTCGGCGAAAGGTGGAGATCGCGGCAGCAGTGGCTCGCGTCGAGAAGGCCGTCGCTGCTACATCTGCGATGCTCCCGACCACCTCTCGTACGACTGCCCCGACCGAGACGAGTCTGACGACGACCGGGACGCCAACCGCAGAAAGGGAGATGGTGGCCGTTGTCGTCGGGACAACCAGCCGGGCAAGGAGAAGCAGCCGTCGAAGACGTCTTCGACGAAGGATGCGGACTCCTCTGGCGGCAATGCTCGTGGCGAGGAGGCCTCGTGCTCGATGGTCAGCGTGGTAGAGCCGACGATCTCCCTGGCGCTGGAGGCTGGCGAAGACTTCAAGGCGGTCGCTGCTGCTGTGCAAGCCAATCCGACAGTTGTGCTGCTCGACAGCGGCTGCTCCCACCATTTGATGGGGGCGATGGAGGCTTTCGTCGACATGCAGCCGAGCGGAGATGTTCGCCACGTTCGCGGCTTCAATGGGGCACTTCAGAGCGTCGAAGGCAGAGGCACCGTTGCTCTGCAAGGGGAGGCCGGGAAGCAGGTCCTCGTCCCCGACGTACTCTACGTTCCGGGTGTGCACGCAAACCTGCTGTCAATGTTGAGTGACCCCAACTTGACGGACCCTTGGACCCTCGAATCACCTACGCGCCTAACCCGAAGGTGACCCCGAGGTCAATTTTGGGTTAGGTTGGGGTGAGACGATTTTGCAGATGAACCACTCCACAGTTCATCGCGTTTTCACACAGCAACAGCCCAGTCTCACTCATAACAGACAGACCCGTCACAGCAATCAAAGGCCATGTTTGATTGAGGGTACGGTCCTAGCCAGTGGCACACTTGCTGACACGAAGATATGAACGCTTTAGATCATTCCACGTCATCGCAGTCCCAATCCCAACCCTTCATAACTTCGTGTCACGATACCTTACACCGGCCAAGAACATACCGTGAGGAAAGTTGCATGGAGTAGAAACCAACTCAACGAAACCCATCTTCACCTTTCTCTATCGTCATTTTATCTCGCAACGAGACAACATCAAACTGACCTGAAGATTCGTTCAAAATGTCCCGCGCAAAGCCAAATGCGACTCGTCTCGTTTGCAGAGGTTTGGGGGATGGTTGGGACTAGCTGATGTGTGGTTTTGGCTGTGCAACTACGTGGTTGGGCGTATAATTTTGTCTGTTCCAGTCGGTTAAAATGGATTCCGTGCTGCTTAGGGCGCAACAGCTTTCCGCGGCTCGAATTGCTTTTGGCCAAACCTGCTGTTTCGACTCGGCTGAACTGACACGGCTGCTGCTCCAGAATATATATTTGTGGAGATTTTGGTTCGCGGTTGGCGTCCCACGCTAATTAGTTTCGACTACGAAGATTTCGGATTCTTAGGTCTGGTTCTCGTTGTGACAACTAACTTGCGTACACCTCAAGGAAGCCCATCGTCTTTGCTTGAAGGGCCGTAAAAAGCGGCTCTTGAGACCCTCAAAGCACAAGTTATAAGGTGCAGGTTGAGCATCAGGGTGAAACACGCGTTCTCCTGCACCCTCGTCTTCGTCGCCGCGCCGTTTCTAGCATCCGAGTCCTCTCCGTTACGCTAGGCGTCACGCAATCTTTATCAAGCAACCTTGATATTTTGACGATATCCAGCTCAGGCTTTCGTTGCGGCTGTCAATCTCACCTGACCCCAACTAGCGGGAATAGTAGTACTATTACCTAGTATGACCGTCGACGCTCTTCCGAGTTGCCAATCCATGGCGGACGTTCTCCCATCATGTTCCTGTCGACCGTGCGGCTGTAATTTCACCGTGTGTCGCACGCCCTTTGTAATCAAGGTGAGCTTAAGTGCGGCTGCATGATTCGTTGCCCTAATTCATTGCGTTCTCCAGTGCGAGCGCGCGACTGACGCAATCGCGAAAAGGTCATAGCTTTTCCAGCCTTTATTATCATGATAGCACCAAGAGCTTGTAGTTCGTGTGTTAGCACACGAATAGGACCGTCATATTATGTGACATTATAAGGTTTCGCCGTCCTGCTCATACTAGTTGGCTTCCTTCCTCGCCCGCGCATACTTTGTTGAGTCGACTTAAAAAAACGGTTTCGCCGTCGACGTCGACCCTCGTCGTCCGCCAGTGGCGGACTTGTTTTGAGGCGCCTCGATTTTTGCCGTCAATAACGATGTTTCGAAAAAGGCGGAAGTCCTTTCTCGCCCGCGGATATTTTCCAGCTCGGAGTCGCCCTACACCACTATAACGCGGCGATTTTATCTGTTCCGCAATGACTAGAAAGGGCCCTCTCAGGCCTCCTTTTCTCTCTCCCTTCCTTTCAGTTATCATCTTTCAGTCGAAACTTAAATCAAGCTCGTCCGTGTTCTAAGCCGCCTCTGGCCTCCTTGCTTCTCTCCGCCGTCTGACCTCCTCCCAACCTCTCTCCGCCTTCTTTCTCCAATTCCCCTCTTTCCCCTCCCTCACCCCTCTCCCTCTCCCCACCTTCTTTCTCCCCTTCCCCGTTCCCCAAAATCCTCCCTCGTGTTTCCAAATTTCAGGCCTATCTCGGCGAGACTAGTACTATTCGTCGCATCGCGTTTCTCGACTGCTCCCCTCCGCCATTCGACCTGGTCGACCTTCGAATCCGCAAGCAATTTAATATCCCTGCTGACAAGCACCTCTCGTTTGTGTACACTGACACGGACGGAGACATGCTGGTGCTTTCCACTAGCGAGGACCTCTATGACGCGTTTGTTCTCCAGAAGCAGAACCCGCTGATAGTGAGAATTTATGACAGCAACGGCGTAACAGATTCCGTCAATCTGACAGACTCAGTCAACGTGAAATCTCACGTCAATTGTGGTACTACTACCCACGGCACCAGCGTTTCTGTCGGCGTCAGCACTCCCCGGGAGCTGTTTCAACCCCTCTCTTCTTCTGAAGCAGCAGCAGCAGCAGCAGCAGCAGCAGCAGCTGCAGCTACAGCTCCTCCCTCACCAGCCTCTGCTTTAGAGTCGACTCATGTACCACCACCAGTGCCCGACCCTGCTGCTGTTCCCTCTCCCGCCGCTGCTCTCTCTCCCGCCGTCGCTCCCTCTCCCGCATCTGCTCTCGCTCCCGCCTCTGCCCTCTCTACCGCTTCAGCTCCTACCGCCTCAGCTGCCCCGTCCGCCTCATCTCACATCTGTGGCTGTGCTTCGGCTTCCCCTTCCCTCCCTGCACCTGCCCCCACTCCTCCTGCTGGTTCTATCACTGCCTTTCCTGTTAATGGCGCTTCTGCTCCTGTAGCTTCTGTTCCTGCTGCTGCTGCTGCTGCTGCTGCTGCTGCTGTTGCTGCTGCTCCTGTTGCTGCCGCTCCTCTGCCTGTTTTTGGTCTCTCCGTTCCTACTGCAGCAGCTGCTCCTGTCTTTGGTCTCTCCGTTCCTACTGCAGCAGCTGCTCCTGTCTTTGGTGCTCCTGCATTTGGTGCTTCAACTCCCACTCCTGCTGCTCGTCCTACTGGTTTCGGTGCTCCTGTTCCTTCTCCTGCTCCTGCCGCTCCTGCTGCACCTGCTGCTGCTCCTTCTTGGAGCGTTCCTGTGTTTTTTTCAGCTTCAGCGTCAAAGAAAAGTGAACCAGGGTCTCTAATGGGGTTTGCTGGTGCCTCGGCTGCTGCTCATCCTGCTGCTCCTGCTTTCGCCACTCCCACTCCTGCTGCTCCTGCTTTCGCCACTCCCACTCCTGCTGCTCCTGCTTTCGCCACTCCTACTCCTGCTGCTCCTGCTTTCGCCACTCCCATTCCTGCTGCTCCTGCTTTCGCCACTCCTATTCCTAATGCTCCTGCTTTCGCCACTCCTACTCATGCTTTTGGCACTCGCACTCCTGCTGCCGCTCCTGCGGCTACTCATGCATCTACTAAAACCGTTCACGGGTTTCACCTGGGGCTTGCTGGTGCATCGAGACAGAAGGCAAGAAGAATCCCCAGAAAAATCCGCAATTGTGTTACCCCCTAATGTTCCGGCACCTGCCGCTCCTGCTGCGGCTACTCCGGCATCTACTAAAACCGCTCAAGGGTTTCACCTGGGGCTTGCTGGTGTGTCAAGACAGAAGGCGAGAAGAATCCCCAGAAAAATCCGCAATTGTGTTACCCCCTAATGTTTCCGGCACCTGCCGCTCTTGCTGCGGCTACTCATGCATCTACTAAAACAGTTCAATGGTGTCACCTGGGGCTTGCTGGTGCAACGAGACAGAAGGCAAGAGGAATTCCCAGAAAAATCCGCTATAATGTCTCCCCTTGACGTTTTCAGCCCTCCCATGTCATCCCCACCCCACCATCTACCGGTAGTACTGCTAGTGATTTTTTACCTCAACAAAACTAATCTTACCCCTGATGCTGTAGAGGTGCTAGGCAAGGTGTACCGTCGTATTGCGCTTGGTTGACATAAATCAAGTACGAGACAGGTGGTAGCAAGGCAAACCAAACCAGCATCTGACCCAACCACTTGCAACTTTGATGTTGAAATGAACCAATACATAAATCTTCTCATCCACCTTGGTGATCTTCCCACAGAGCACCAGCTTGCTTCCCACTCGCCATCGCCTCATCCATCGCACTACGAGCCTCCGTCAAACTCTTTGCCCCGGAAAACTCCTTGATTGGCATGGCAAGGCAAACCAGCATCGGATCGGATCGGACCCAAACACTTGCAACTTCGATATTGGTCCACTACTTATATCACCTTGGTGAGCTTTCCACAGAGCACCAGCTTGTTGTTCGTGTGGTTAACCCTTATAAACTTCCCACTCGCCATTGCCTCGCCCATTGCGCTCCGCACCTCCGCCAAGCTTTTCGCCCCCGAAAACTCTTTCACAATGAAGCTGTAACGCTTGCGGCGCGCGCTCTTGCTGCTCGTGACCTCCACCCAGGTTTTGGTCAGCGGCGGTTCGAAGCTATTAGGAATGCATGAAGCTCCAAAGCTTGTGGACGGCGGCTCCCCTCCAGATGCAATGTTGAGGACTTGAAAAAACAAGCTGCTAGCATATGAAGTTGATGCATATCTGTTAACGGGACATCGAAACGGGGTGGTTGCGAAGGTGGTACAGGAGAGGGACACAGGGAAAGGGGGGGAGGTAGGACAGGGGAGGGGGGAAGTCGAGGAGAAGAAAGGAAGGGGAAGGGGTGGGGAGGAAGGGGAACGCGGGGATGGGGAAAGGGGAAGAGGGGGTTGGCGAGAGAAGAGGGCGAAGGGGGGTGGGAGTGTAAGGGGTCATTTTTACAGTAGCAAGGAAACGCACACCTGCTATGTCTCGTGCTGGCTCGATTGCTGACTGTATGTTGCAATACTGGCACCAATAAACTGAAATCGCACACTGAAATCACACGGAGACGTACCTGATGCCCTTCATTATGATTTCCCCTGATGCTCCTTTCCCGCTGACTGTATGTGTTGCAATACCAGCAATAGACTAAAATCACAACACTGAAATCACACGGAGACGTACCGGATGCCCTTCATTACGATTTTCCCCGATGCACCTTTGTCGCCGACCACTTTCCCATTGATCTTAGTGGGATGCAGCGTGCCCATGTATTTTACTGGAATGATGGGAACGGCAGGCAGGGAGGTATGGGCGCATGGGGAGGCAGTGAAAGGATCACAGTTGAGTATGCTGCACTCGTGATGGCTTGAGTGAGGTTGCCCTGTAGCACTACCACAGTGGTAGCACAAGCACGGGATCAGAGTGGTGCACTGCAATGTAGTGCGGTTGCTAGAATCGCCTATTGAGGCACCTCAAAAGAGGACCGGAATTGAGGATGCTGCTGCACTCGTGATGGCTTGAGCTTGCCTCTGATCCCGTGCTTGCACAACCACAGTGGTCGCACAAGCACGGGATCAGAGTGGTGCACTGTAGTACGGCTGCTAGAATCGCGTGTGGGCATCATGGGACTGGCAGGGATAGGGGCGCTTGGCTTGAGGTTGCCTTGTGGCACTACCACAGCGGTAACACAAGCAAGGGATGAGTTGACTTTTGAGTCGACTCAAAAGGCTTGAGGTTGCCTTGTGGCCCTACCACAGCGGTAACACTAGCAAGAGATGAGACTGGTGCACACTTCTACGGTTTCTAAAATCGCCTGTGGGCAGCATATCATGGGACGGATTACAAGCCGAATATTCGAGGCCCCTAAAAAAAGGTTGTTAGAATCGCCTGTGGGCAGTGGGCAGCATATCATGGGACGGAATACAAGCGGAAACATCTACAGGATCAATGCTATCGAGAGAAGTGAAACGCATTCGCTATTAACAGATTCGTTATTATTCACATATGCAGCTATTAACGCATTCGTTATATTACTTGCAATGCTGCAGCTCGGTGTGTGTGTCTTGTGTTGCGCGTAGCACGTCTAGTGAAGGGAGTTTTTGAAACGTCTCAAATACCTTCTTTCACGCTGCAGCTCGATGCGTCTTGTGTTGCTAGTATCACGTCTAGTGAGCAAACGACTCCTCGAAGAGTGAAAGGAGCACATATACTGAGACACTTACTGACAGTCTTCCCTTTCACAAGTGGCTTCGCGTGTGGGAGGAATGGCGCGATGGCTGATGCCGCAGACGCTGCAACCGTGAAGAGCGCTGCACCTGGCGGGCAGGAGAGAGAAGAGCAGGGCAAAGCAGGGGATAGTAGAGCAGAGCAGGGCAGGGCAGAGCAGAGCAGAGCAGAGCAGAGCAGAGCAGAGCAGAGCAGAGCAGAGCAGAGCAGAGCAAAGCAGAGCAGAGCAGAGCAGAGCAAAGCAGAGCAGAGCAGAGCAAAGCAGGGGAGAACATGAGTGTCGTCGCGGTGAGGGGCGTGCAGCTCTCTGCCCTGCCTGCCCTGCTCTGCTCTACAAGTTGGCTCCAAACTGGAACTGTCTGCAACCAACTTGTAACAACAGGATGAAACTGCCTGGCGGGCACAGCAGAGCAGGGGAGAACATGAGTGTCGTCACGATGAGGGGCGTGCACTGACACTGGAACTGTCAGAGACAAACTTGTAACAACAGGCTGAAACTGCCTGGCGGGCAGAGCAGAGCAGGGGAGAACTTGAGTGTCGTCACGATGAGATGAGGGGCGTGCATTGACACAGGAACTGTCTGGAACCAACTCGGAAAGGAGAAGGAGAGAGCGTCGGATCACGTCGAAGTGGTAATGCTTACAGAGAAGAATGACAAAGAGAGCTGCTGCGGGGCGCCCCATGATTGGTACTGGGACTGCTAGACTGAGAAGTGAGGCTGAATGATTCGACTTTAAAAAGAGAAGTGATGTTCCGCGAATGAAATGAGAGGGACTATATACTCGGTTTCTTCAGCCACTTCGCTCTAACTCGCTCTAACTCGCTCTAACTCGCTCTAACTTAGAACCAGATCAAATGCGCGGGCGCGGGCTCTGGGCATTCCCTACCTCGGAGGTTTCGGAACCCGACAGTGTCGGGATGAGTTGAAGCTGCACCCTTGAAGCTACCCTCCCATCGCAAGGGATCAAGGGTTTGTGCATTCCTCGGGTTTGGGTTGGGATGAGTGGCACTGCGGCGATGGATGAAGCAGCATGTGTGAAGCTATCACCCTAACCACTCGTGCGGGGCGCGTCGAGAGGCTGCAAAACCACGTGATGAAAGATGGCTCTGCGGCGGCGATGGCTGAAGCTGCATTCTTTTAGCTATCACCCACACCACTCGGTTTTGAAGGCGATTCAGAGCACGATGGCTGAAGCTGCACCGGTGAAGTTACACTATAACCCACACCGCTCGTGCGGGGCGCGTCGAGACACATCGAGAGGCTGCAAAACCACGTGATAAATGAAGTGTTTTGAGACGACTCAAAGCACTTTTTTTCTATCACGTGCCCACACCACTCGTGCGGGACGCAATTGAGACTCGTGAGAGGCGCAAAGCTACTCGTGAGGGGGGAATCGCGAAGCTGCAAAACTCCTGGACGTGAGAAAGCGAGCGCGGCGGCGGCGCGGCGCCACATTCCGACATAAAAAACCCCCTTGTCTGTTTTGTTTTGTTTGTTTCTCAGACGAGTGTCTACGTTCCGACATTTTTTAGTTTCCGTATTCCAAAAATCTGACGTTGCACGCTTGCAGCTCGAGGCAGCGGCGCGATACAGCACGTCATCTCGCCGCCACACCCACAACAAGTAGCGACGGACCAAGGAAGTGAGGCTGGGTTAGGAAGGAACGAGGAATGAGGGAGTTCGGTGAGACTTGCACGTATAAGAGGTGAGAAAGAGGAGATCGGTGGGAGTGACTGGTTGGGTGGGTGACGGGTTGGTTGGAAGGAAGAAGCAGGGAGGGAGGGGGTTGGCTTGCATTTGCATGGGGTGACGACGGGTTGGATGGAAGAGGCGGCGAGGGAGGGTCTGTCTTGGCTTGCATGGCAGTGCCTGCTGGGCGGGCTGGGCTGGAGGAGGCGGCGAGGTGAGCGGAAGGGACTTGGCTCGGTTTGCATGGGTGGGGTGTGCGGGAGTGAGGTGGCAGGTTGGGGCAGGGGAACTCGGAAAAGTCAACCCTCGATGTAACAAACAACCGACTTCGCAACAAGCGACCGAATTGCGACAGTTCACGAAGGTGCGCGATTATATGCGACAAACACTTCGTAACAGCTCGGTTGGCGCGAAAGCGAGCGTGCGACCAACTGCCACCTGGCGAACTCTTTGTCGGCACTTTCGTAAGGAGAGCCACTCCCATCATCCTACATACCACGATTGCTCACGACTGCTGTTTCCCGTTACCACCTCGCGAGATTCGCCCAACCAAACCAACCATACGCCGTTATTGTTTGCCTCGATAGTGCAATCTGAAAACTCGCTAAATTGCACCCGTAACAATACTATGATTGAGAGAATAATATTGAGCTCTGACTCGAGCTACGGTAATGTCTCGGATGCTCTCTAATTTACTTTTGCTACTTACAATCAAGGGTCCAACATCTCTTTAGAGCCTTATTTTCATATCACGTGTTTTACAAATACATTGCTTGTAACGAGATTTTCACCATGTTGTACTCTTTGTCGTCTGCGCACTACCGTACAAACTGGTCCCATCAGTCCAGTCATGATTCGCGACTGTTGACTGTCAATAGCTCTGTAGCATTGCGACTGCGTTTTCGTTACGTGCGACTTCGTCGAGGACTCCTGCGCTGAGACAGCTCTGTAGTATTCGCGAATACTGGCGAAGCGATTTCGTCAACAAAATAGCGGCCAACTGCCTGGGCTGAAATATGTTCTTCTGGTTCGACTATTTCCTGTCTTCCTGTCCGCTCCGCGTCGTTTCGCCACTCGGCACCTCGTCAAATGTGTCTACTTGCTGGCATTAGTAGGCCATTATCGCGTCATCTATTCCGGCAGTGTAGAACATTAGAAAATCGCACACCTCTCTCCAGGGAGACAATCGGACAGTCTCTCTCTAGCCGCGTTTCAAGGCGTCTCCTGAGCTGGATCCGTCCGTTCGCCTACTATCGTATTTGTTAGTCCGTCACATTCCCTACTAGCTCTAGATTACGTTACTTTCCTGTCAGTGACGTCACCATGTCGTACATGGTAGTCCGCGGCTCGTCCTCCGACTTCTGGCATCAAAACGAGAAGCTTTTCGACAAATTAAAGCCGTATTTTGTCGTCACGTTCGTCATTCTCGTTCTCGGCGTACCGCTGCTGCTAATTTTCCAGCCAATCGAAGCACTCTCGACCGACGTTGCCGCTTCGGATGCCCCTTCCGACGACGCTTCCTCCTTGAGTTTTGAGGCGACTCGAAGCTCGGGCGACTCTGCTGCCTTCGCATCCTACCCCGCTGCATCCTCGTTAGAAGCCGGCGTCATTAAAGGCGTTAACATTGCATGGTCGCTATGCCGAGCCGAGGCTGCTTATTGGGTAAGGATCAGTGTGTCGAAAGTTACACTCGTTATAGAAGGACGCATTAGAAGGTCGCGATCCATAACAGGCGCAATGCAGCCAATCGCAGAGTTCAACCAAAACACATTCCAATCAAAACTGAAATAAGGACTGAGAAAAAAAAACGTCGCAAGCTTGTGGCTTCTCTGACTCAAAAGCATTTCTCCCCATTTCCCGTCTTCCCCAGCCAAACATAGGAAGCAGCTTATAACGGGGATTAGTGTCCCTCGGCGCATGTTTACTTCTTGTAGTCTCTGCTGCTCCCGATCCCCCATAACCCCCCTATACACTCCCCCACCCCCTCCCCCCCTTTCCTCCCTCCCCTTCTCCTCCCCCCCTTCCTCCCCCGGCCCGCATTCCTCGGCCATTGCTCTCCCTCGTGTTCCCTCTCGTCCCCTCCCCTCCCCTCCCTTCCCCCTCCCACTCCCCTCCCCTCCCTTCCACGCCCCTTCCCTCCCCTCTCCCCACTCCCCTCCCCTCCCCTCTGCCCCCCTCTCGCCGTTCCAGGCTGATATAGACAGAAGGAAGGCAGCTCATAACGGGGATCAGTGGCCCATGGATGCATATGACCAGCCCTCTCTGCTGCTGTCCATTCCCCCCTTTCCCCCCGTCCTCCCCCTCTCCTTACAGGCCAACATAGATCGTAAGACAGCAGATCGTAACGGGGACCAGTGGCCCATGGATGCATACGACCTGCCCTCTCTGCTGCTGTCCATTCCCCCCTTTCCCCCCGTCCTCCCCCGTCCCGTTCCCCCAGGCTGATATAGACCGTAGGAAGGCAGCTCATAACGGGGACCAGTGGCCCATGGATTCATACGACCTGCCGTCTAAGCTTTGCTGCTACTCATTCTCCCACCCTCCCGCCCCCACTTCCCCTCTCCTCCCGTTCCCCCAGGCTGATATAGACCGTAGGAAGGCAGCTCATAACGGGGACCAGTGGCCCATGGATTCATACGACCTGCCGCAGCTGCTGCTGTCCGTGCTCATGCCCACCTACCCCTGCCCGGCAGAGGAACGAGTGGGCGCATGGGGGGATGGGGGGAAGGTAAGGATGGTCCGGCGGGGAGTGAATGGCTGGGTTCTGTCGGTTACTCCCTACCCCTCTCTGCTATCGCTGCTGCTGTCCGTGCTCATGCCCACATATCCGTGCCCGGCAGAGGAGCGAGTGGGCGCGTGGGGGGATGGCGGGAAGGTGAGCGAATGGCTGGGTTGGGTTCTTTCTGTCACTCCCTACTACCCCCCTCCTCTGCTGTCTTCTCTGCTGCTGTCTGTGCTCATGCCCACTTATCCATGCCCGGCAGAGGAGAGTGGGCGCATGGGGGGATGGGGAAAAGGTGAGGAGATGAGGGGATAGTTATGGGGAGAAGGTGAGTGAATGCTTGGTTCCTTTCGGTCACTCCCCACCCCTCTCTGCTGTCTGTCTGTGCTCGTGTCGTGCCCATATACCCACGAACAAGGCCATACCCGGCAGAGGAGAGAGGGTGAGGAGGTGTGTGAATGGTTGGGTTGGGTCCTTTCGGTCTCTCCCCTTCCCCCCTTCTGCTGTCTCCGCTGCTGTCTGTCTTTGCTCATGCCCACTAATCCGTGCCTGGAAGAGGAGCGAGTGGGCGCATGGGGGAATGGGGGGAAGGTGAGCAAGGGGAAGGGGGGGAAAGGGGGGTTAGGAGAGGGAGAGGGGGGTGAAGAGAAGGGGTGCGGGGTAGGGTGATGTTTCCTCCCCTACCCCTACTCCACTCTGCTGCTGTCGGTGCTCATGCCCACTTACCCATGTCTGGCAGAGGAGAGAGTGGGCGCATGGGGGGATGGAGGAAAGGTGAGCAGGGGAAAGGGGTTAGGTGAGGGGAAGGTGGGGGCTGGGGAGCGTGATGTTTCCTACCCTCCGCTGCTGCTGTCTGTGCTCATGCCCTCATACGCAAGCCCGGCGGAAGAGAGAGTGGGCGCATGGGGGGATGGGGGGAAGGTGAGGGGAGTCAGGGGAGTGAATGATTGGGTTCTTTGAGTTACTCCCTACCCCTCTGCCGTCGCTGCTGCTGTCTGTTCTCATGCCCACTTACCCATGCCCGCGGAAGAGAGAGTGGGCGCATGGGGGGATGGGGGGAAGGTGAGGAGAGTCTGGGGAGGGGACGAGGGGAAGATGGGGAGTTGGGGGAACGGGGGGCAGGGGAAGGATGGGGTTGGGGGAAAGGCCTGTAGTGGGGGTTGCTTTCATTTGGCTACTTTCTGCTTACCTGAGGGAGACCTACTTGCTACTCGTGCGCTGGTTGAGAGTGTGGGGTGTGGGGATGGGGGCAGGAGAGGGAAGGTGGCAAATGTTGAGAGGGAACAGCAACGAGGAGTGCAGGTGTTTTGAATGGTATACTTATATTTTTTTTTTATTTTCTGTATAATTGATTAGAATTGCTTATATAGTATAAGGGGGGATGGGTGGATGGGTGGATGGGCGCAGGTGATGGAAGATGGCAGAATCTGGGAGGAGAAATAGCAACAGGGGGGAAGGTGTTTTAAACGGCAAGCGTTTTTTTTTTTTTTTTTTTTTTTTTTTTTCCTTTCTTTCTTTCTTTCTTTCTTTCTTTCTTTCAACAAGTGCAGTTGCTTTGTCCCCTCAACCCCCATCTTACTGAAAACTTCGGGACCCCCCTTCTCCCCACCACTTCTCGCATCCCACCTTGCTATAATCTGCAATGGGTGTGCATGTTGCCACCTAACCCTCTCCCTCCTCTCCCCTCCTTTGCCTTCCTCTGCTCTCTCCTCCCCTTCCTCTCCCTCACCTTGCTCTCCACTGCAGTGGGTGTGCATGCTGCCACCTAACCCTATTCCTCTCCCCTCCCCTGCGTTCCCCCCACCTCCCCCCACCTTCCTCCCCTGCCTTTCCCCAACCTCTTCCCACTTTCCTCCCCTCCCTCACCCTATTATCCATTGCAGTGGGTGTGCATGCTTCCAACAGCGATCCAAAAAAATCCTGTCGTGTACAGGTAAGCAGAGTGACAAGTTGACTCAAACCCCTGTTTTCGCTCCTTTTTATTCGACTCAAAAGCCACCGCATTCCAACCAAACCAAACCCTGTTGTGTAGGCGGGTATAGTCGCTATTGTTCCATACTCTATTCCATAATAGTTAAGTGTGCTGGTAAATCCAAGTGCCGGCATCACACACTAGCCCTGTTGCATTCTGCTATGGCACTGTTTATCTGAGATGGGTCATCGCCATGCCAGAACGTAATGCTATACTACTTTTGAGGCGCCTAAAAAATCGTCTCAGTTCACGCGGTTTTGAGGCGCCTCAAAGATGGGTCATCGCCATGCCAGAACTCAATGATATACTAGCTACGCCTTTCCTCCTCCTGCCCTCCTGCCTTCCCTTCCCTTGTGTCACTTTTGAGAATTCTCCCCATCGGCGCTGCTCTGCACGCCAAGCCATTCCTCCCCTGCCTCCACTCCCCATTCCCCCCCTCCCCTGCCTCCCTCACCATCCCACCCAACCCACCCTCCCCCCGCCCCGCCCCCCTTCCCCTCCCCCTCCCAGTGTGGGCAGCAACGAGCAGTACGACTTCGAGCAGGCCATAGGCGCTGCGCTGCACACCAAGCCATTCACCTTCGACCCCTTCCTCTCCGCCAACGCCTCCCACCACATGCTCGCCCTCCCCTTCCTCCACTTCAACCAAATCGCCATCGCGGGAGCAGCAAGCCTTGAGAATTTCCGGGGCCAAAACCCTGGGATCACTTTTATGACTCTGCAAGGGGCGATGGAGAAACTAGGGCATGGGTATGTGGATGTGCTGAAAATGGACTGTGAGGGGTGTGAGGAGGAGTTTATCATGGGGATGAAGAGGGAGACTGAGGAGTTTGTAGAGAGGAGGAGGAGGGAGGAGGGAGGGGGGTTAACGGAGGAGGAGGAGGGGAAGAGGAGGGGGAGGGGGGATGCGAAGCTGGTGATAAACGGAGGGAATCTGCTGTTTGGACAACTGCTTGTGGAGTTTCACGCGTGAGTGATCGTCACCTCTTCTTGTGTTCCACACGCACACTCACACGCACACGCACAGGCACGCACACGCACGCACACACACACACACAAACACACACGCACACACACACGCACACGCACAGGCACGCACACGCACGCACACACACACACACAAACACACACGCACACACACACGCACACGCACAGGCACGCACACGCACGCACACACACACACACAAACACACACGCGCGCACACACACATACACACACACACACACACACACACACACACACACACAAACAGACACACAAACACACACAAACACATAAGAAATGCAAAGCTAAATGGGAAGAACCCGCCGTTTGGATAGCTGCTTGTTGACTTGCACTCGTGAGCGACTGTACTGTTGGGTCGACTCTAAAGTCAGTTTGAGTCGACTCAAAAGTCACACACAAGAAATGCAAAGATGAATGGGGGGGGGGGGGGCTGCTGTTTGGATAGCTGCTTGTTGACTTGCACTCGTGAGAGACTGTAAGCTCTTGTATACCGAGCGCTCTCTGCCCTACCTGCACACCACGGAGGGCATGGGGTACCGCATGTTGCTTCTCACACATCTCCTCCCTCTACCCATCCCCCGTTTTGATACTTTTGTTTGCCCCTCCCCTCCTCCAGCATGCATAAGCCCCAGCAGTCTCTCCCCTACCTGTATGCGATGGAGGGAATGGGGTACCGCATGTTCCACGTGGAGCCCAACCCGCTGTGCTACTCGTACAATCTCTCCTTCTACCCCATCCATCCCTCCCCTCCTTCAGAATGCACAAGCCCCAGCAGTCCCTGCCCTATCTCTACGCCATGGAAGGAATGGGGTACCGCATGTTCCATGTGGAGCCCAACCCGCTGTGCTACTCACACACCCCCCCTCCCCTGCTTTCCCCCCTCCCCTCTGTGACTCTGCCCCCCACTGCTACAGCATGCACAAGCCCCAGAAATCTCTGCCCTACCTCTACGCCATGGAGGGAATGGGGTATCGCATGTTTCACGTGGAGCCCAACCCGCTGTGCTCCCTTCCCCACCTCCCCACCTCCCCATTGCCCTGTTGCCCTGTTGCCCTGCTGCCCTGTTGCCCTGTTGCCCTGTTGCCCTGTTGCCCTGTTGCCCTGCTGCCCTGTTGCCCTGTTGCCCTGTTGCCCTGTTGCCCTGTTGCCCTGTTTACCACAGCATGCACAAGCCCCAGCAATCCCTACCGTACCTGTACGCCATGGAGGGCATGGGGTACCGCATGTTCCACGTGGAGCCCAACCCGCTGTGCTACCCGTGCATCGAGGTGGCGTTTGTGCACGAAGACCTGGTGGTTCCGCCCCTGAGCCTTGACTGTGCGGGTGTTCTGAGGCGGTCCCAGGTTTCCGACTATGTGATGCAGTGGTTGCCTGGAGTGGGAGGGGGAGGGGGAGGGGGAGGGGGGGAGGAAGGAGGAGGAGGGGGAGGGGGAGGGGGAGGGTGAGGGGAAGGGGAAGGGGAAGCGGGAGGGGAAGGGGGAGGGGAACAGGAAGGGGAAGGAGGGGAAGGGGGTGAGGGAGAGGAGAGCAGCAGCAGCACAGGTTCTAGTGGTGGTGTGTAGGTGACCCCAGCCCCAACCCGCTGTGCTACCCGTGCATCGAGGTGGCGTATGTTCACGAAGACTTGGTGGTTCCGCCGCTCAGCCTTGACTGTGTGGGTGTTCTGTGTCGATCTCAGGTTTCAGAATATGTGGTGCGGTGGCTGCCTGGAGGGGGTGATTTCCGAGACGTCTCAAAAATGAGGACTTGGTGGTGCCGCCGCTCAGCCTCGACTGTGCGGCTGAGCTGTGGCGGTCCCATGCCTCAGGCTATGTTGCCGGGTGGTTGCCTGGAGTGGGGGCAAGGAGTGGCAGCAGCAGTGCTGACGCTGGCAGCAGCGGCGGTGAATCTGGCAGCAGCAGTGATAGTAGTGTAGGCGCTACTGGTAGTGATGGTGGTGGTGGCGACAATGGTGGTGCATAATCGCCCCCTAAGCTCGCTCTGCGTCGACGTATCGTACCCACGTTCAATCGCCATTTTTCATTGTGAAACCACCTTTTTCATGAAGTTTAATGGTATAGCCTTGTGGCAAGGTATACGCCAGATTGTTTGTGATCAAAACATGCCATACACAATAAGTTGGCATCTATACGATGATATGCGTGCTCCTGGTATGGTAGTGGCTGTGGTAGTAGTCTAAGAATTAAGCACTATTCTTAGCATTGGCTACACTTCAGAGCTGGTAATCTCTACTTCAGGGTATGCTTTTATGGAGTTCCCAGCTGTTGTGGAAAGGCGACGGCTGACCAATCAGGCGCGTGTGTCCGAATATCAGCAGCCAATTAACTGGCGGAGTTTTTCGGCGAAGGATATGCATGTTCGCTAACCGACTGTTCACATTCGTCAGTCACAGAAGTCAAGCATACTGCAAGCTGACTCGGCATCGTCAACGTCGCAGGGAGAATACGAAGGGCACGGCACGGAAGCTGACTCGTCTTTGAACATATCAGGTTGGGAAAAGATCATACAGGGGCCGAACAGTGCCCGAGAGGTGATCGAAAAGGGGCCGAGAGGCCCGGAACTAACCAAACCACTGCGCAAAAACGGTATTTGCAGAGGGTCATCATTTATTGAACGTATGTTCGTTAACAATTCGCATTTTGGCTCGCGCGTCATTTTTCATGGAAATAGTTACTGATTCATCACCTTCCACCCAATAGCGTCGTTTAGCAAGCCAGAAACTCTTAGGGCAGCCAAAAAAACAAAAACCCCAAGGGAACCTGGATGCATTTTCGGGATGGATCAACCCTAAAAACGGGAACCTTCGTTGTGTTTCGGGTTGATGCCTCCCTAGTCGCATCCATTTCCAAATGGGTAATATTTTCTGTTCTGCGCGTTTCCGATCAGGTAGTGATATGTATCACCAATAATAAAATATATTTGTTTTGACTCACAAATTAACACAGCAATATTTACTTCCAGAAGAACGCGATGCGCGCGTAGTAGGAGACGGCGGTCGTAACCCTTTTTGTAAATAAGTTTGACACGAAGTTTAATGCTGGTAGCATCTCTCTTTTAGTCACGGCTCGGCTTGTTTGCCTAGCCTCTTGGGCAGCTCGGGGTTGAAATCCTACGGTCGAGACTTTCTGGCCCTACTTTGGTCATCCCTCTAGAACTCTTCGGCCCCAATTTGATCATTTCCCTATCAGGTTCGAGGAAGGGTGACGTCGCTTGCGTTTCTGCGATGGCCAGGCTGGATATCTGTGGCTGCGAGCGATGCACCAAGCAGAAGGAATGCAGGGAGCGGATGCGCGACCACAAGACTTACTCTGCGACGCTGTGCGACGAAAACGACCCTGACTTTACCGAGACAACAGGGATGAAAATTGAGCCGAGTGTGGAGTTGTCTACATTGAAAATGGAGTCAATGGTACTACATTGACGTTCCAAGCATCCTAGGCAACTATTGAAGACCTACGCGCACCGCTGTGTGAATTCAGATCACAGAAGTCTCTATCCGACAAATTCTGCACGATTACGACAAGAGTCGCTAAGCTGTCACTACCTCCAGTCGCTGGGTACGAAAACGTAAGCAGTTTTCAGTTAGCGCATGTCTTACGCGGGGTGTTGAAGGACTAGTTGTTGTCCTAGTCCGTGCATTTCTTGCAAAAACTTATTCTTCGCTTCAATACGAGCTGTACCTGTCACCTTCTCAAGATGTTTCCGAGATGCGTGGCGTGTTAAATGCCTTCTTTAATAAAAATTAGCTCGGTTTTGTGGGCATGGATTTTGCACAATTTGTATCCTCAGCTCTCTCGGCCTTTCTCCGCAAAACATCATATTTTCTTATCACTTTCAACTGTCACTTTCCTGCACAGCTAAACGCCCGAATTCCTTTAGAATCAAAGAAGTTCTGTTCTCTTTGAACTTTGCTTTCCTCGACTACAGCTTCCTTTTTTTTTTTGGTTTTCTCCGTCATCTGTGTCCTTGCTCACCCAGCCATCCCTGAAACGGCATCCCTGGACCTCGTCCCTTCAGACACTACTGGCTTAAGACCTTCCGAAGCTCTGCAGCCATCTGGGCTGTGAAAAAATTCCAGCTTTCGCTAAAAGCATTACGGCTGTGTTTGACATGTAACTATAGCGAACTGTTCCCTCAGCAGTTGCTACTAGCGAGCTGTAGCCTGTAAGAAGCACTCAGCAGTTGCTGGTGTACAGTTTTATTCGTCCCACACATCAGAGCTGACGATACTCGGTTCATTATGGGAAGCGGATCATCTAAAGACGGGGTTATCAACAAAGACATAGGTGAGGTTTCTGTTAACCGCTCGTAACCATTTCACGGCTAAGAGTGATGGCAAGAATCGATCCCGTTTCAGTCCGACACGAATACCTCAACGCTTCTGTCTCTTTCTCAAAATTGAGTCTCTTTTTTATTTTGGTCCTGTGTCCGTCCCGGCTCGAAGTATCAGCTCCAACTGAATCTCTTTCCGTCTCATCTTACTCGCTTCTTTCTCCCCCGCAATTCCTTTGCCAGGGTCCACCAAGAACTCGGTGATCTTTGTGCAGCCCGGCCTCAAGGCGTGTGTCAAGACTCAGCCCTCGCCACAGAGGTGAGGACATCCAGAAGTGTGAGTGTTGTTCCGCAATTGCATCAATCGGATGGTGCATGTCAAGACTCGGCCCAGACCTTACCAGAGGTGAGGAAGGTCAGAAAGTGTGAGTGGTGTCCTGCAACAGCGTTAATCAGACGACGGACAGTGTATGTCAAGAGACTCGGCCCAGACCTTACCAGAGGTGAGGAAGGTCAGAAAGTGTGAGTGGTGTCTTGCAACTGCGTTAATCAGACGACGGACAGTGTATGTCAAGAGACTCGGCCCAGACCTTACCAGAGGTGAGGAAGGTCAGAAAGTGTGAGTGGTGTCCTGCAACTGCGTTAATCAGACGATGGACAGTGTATGTCAAGAGACTCGGCCCAGACCTTACCAGAGGTGAGGAAGGTCAGAAAGTGTGAGTGGTGTCCTGCAACTGCGTTAATCAGACGACGGACAGTGTATGTCAAGAGACTCGGCCCAGACCTTACCAGAGGTGAGGAAGGACAGAAAGTGTGAGTGGTGTCCTGCAACTGCGTTAATCAGACGACGGACAGTGTATGTCAAGAGACTCGGCCCAGACCTTACCAGAGGTGAGGAAGGTCAGAAAGTGTGAGTGGTGTCCTGCAACTGCGTTAATCAGACGACAGACAGTGTATGTCAAGAGACTCGGCCCAGACCTTACCAGAGGTGAGGAAGGTCAGAAAGTGTGAGTGGTGTCCTGCAACTGCGTTAATCAGACGACGGACAGTGTATGTCAAGAGACTCGGCCCAGACCTTACCAGAGGTGAGGAAGGTCAGAAAGTGTGAGTGTTGCCAGCGTCCACCAGGAACTCAGTGATCTTTGTGCAGCCCGGCCTGAAGGTCGTGTGTCAAGACTCAGCCCTCGCCACAGAGGTGAGGAGAGTTGGAAGGAAGTGTGAGTGCTGTCGTCCCGCATCTGCGTTGAATGAAGGGCGTATGTCAAGGCTCGGCCCAGACCTTGCGAGAGGTGAGGAAAGACAGAAGTGTGAGGGTTGCCCCGCAATCCCTTTGCCAGGGTCCACCAGGAACTGGTGATCTTTGTGCAGCCCGGCCTGAAGGTCGTGTGTCAAGACTCAGCACTAACCACGGAGGTGAGGAAAGTCAGAGGTGAACAAAACTGTCTGTCTTGTTTGTGTTGATCGAAGGGTGTATGCCAAGAAAAGTCCAGATCAAACTTTTGGGAGTTGCTTCATTCAAGGCAAGGGTGTATGTTAACTCAACACTTGCCTCACAGAGGTCAGAAAAGTTAGTAGATTCAACAGTGTGGGTGTTGTTCCATCCAAGGCACGATCACACGTCAAGACTTAACAAATTCCACAGAGAAATCAACGCTGTGGGTGTTGTCCCGCAACTGCTGTCTCCTTGCGTTGATCGCAGTGTGTATGTCAAGATTCAGCATTTGTCTTACAGAGATTCAGTAGATTCACATCCATCGCAAAGAGAGCATGCCAAGATCCAGCACTTGCAGAAAAGTGAGAGGTGTTTGAAAAGTCAACGAACTCAGTCGTGTATGGGAAGCAAGGGTGTGTGTGTCAAGATTCAGCACCCCAAAGTGAGAGGAGAGAAAAGTCAACAGTGTGGCCAGTGACGTGTAGGCGCCCCATCGTCCTTCCTCCGAATCTCCCACCCCTCCCCACGCCCCCTTTTCCCACCCGTAGAACCTCATTCTGACAGGCACAGAAGGGGAGGGAGGCAGTGCGCCGGTGGGGTTGTTAGACGGGCACGGCTTGTCCGGCCACTACGTCTCCAAGACCGCTCACTCCTGCATCTCCTTTCCCCCTTCCTGGCGCTCCTTCCCCCACATCCCCCCATGCTCCTGACGAGCACAGCAGTGGAGAGTGGGAGAGGCAGTGCGCTGGTGGGGGTGTTTGACGGGCACGGCTTGTCGGGGCACTACGTGTCCAAGACAGCTCGCGACCAGCTGCCAGAGCGACTCAACGCAGCCATGCAGCACACCCAGCACGAGCTCGCCCACGTGGACGGGGCTGCTGCCAGGAACGTGTGGTGTGGGCGCCCCATCTCCCCCATCCCCCAATCCTCCCATCACCACATCCTATGAACCCCCCACCCCTCCCCACCCTTCCCACCCGTCCCCACCCCTCCCCACGGCCCCCCAACGGCCCCCAGAACCTGATCCTGACGAGCACAGCAGTGGAGAGTGGGAGAGGCAGTGCGCTGGTGGGGGTGTTTGACGGGCACGGCTTGTCGGGGCACTACGTGTCCAAGACAGCTCGCGACCAGCTGCCAGAGCGACTCAACGCAGCCATGCAGCACACCCAGCACGAGCTCGCCCACGTGGACGGGGCTGCTGCCAGGAACGTGTGGTGTGGGCGCCCCATCTCCCCCATCCCCCAATCCTCCCATCACCACATCCTATGAACCCCCCACCCCTCCCCACCCTTCCCACCCGTCCCCACCCCTCCCCACGGCCCCCCAACGGCCCCCAGAACCTGATCCTGACGAGCACAGCAGTGGAGAGTGGGAGAGGCAGTGCGCTGGTGGGGGTGTTTGACGGGCACGGCTTGTCGGGGCACTACGTGTCCAAGACAGCTCGCGACCAGCTGCCAGAGCGACTCAACGCAGCCATGCAGCACACCCAGCACGAGCTCGCCCACGTGGACGGGGCTGCTGCCAGGAACGTGTGGTGTGGGCGCCCCATCTCCCCCATCCCCCAATCCTCCCATCACCACATCCTATGAACCCCCCACCCCTCCCCACCCTTCCCACCCGTCCCCACCCCTCCCCACGGCCCCCCAACGGCCCCCAGAACCTGATCCTGACGAGCACAGCAGTGGAGAGTGGGAGAGGCAGTGCGCTGGTGGGGGTGTTTGACGGGCACGGCTTGTCGGGGCACTACGTGTCCAAGACAGCTCGCGACCAGCTGCCAGAGCGACTCAACGCAGCCATGCAGCACACCCAGCACGAGCTCGCCCACGTGGACGGGGCTGCTGCCAGGGATGTGTGGGCGCCCCATCTCCCCCATCCCCCCATCCTCCCATCCCCCCATCCTCCCATCCTTCCATCACCACATCCTATGAACCCCCCACCCCTCCCCACCCCTCCCCACCCGTCCCCACCCCTCCCCACGGCCCCCCAACCGCCCCCAGAACCTGATCCTGACGAGTGCAGCGGTGGAGAGTGGGAGAGGCAGTGCGCTGGTGGGGGTGTTTGACGGGCACGGCTTGTCGGGGCACTACGTGTCCAAGACAGCTCGCGACCAGCTGCCAGAGCGACTCACCACCGCCGTGCAGCACACCCAGCACGAGCTCGCCCACGTGGACGGGGCTGCGGCGCGGGACGTGTGGTGTGGGCGCCCCCCATCCCTCCATCCTCCCAACCCCCCATCTCCCTCACTGCCCCAACCTCCCAACCCCCCATCCTCCCACCCCTCCCACCCCTCCCCACCCCTTCCCACGCCCCCCCAACCGCCCCCAGAACCTGATCCTGACGAGTGCAGCGGTGGAGAGTGGGAGAGGCAGTGCGCTGGTGGGGGTGTTTGACGGGCACGGCTTGTCGGGGCACTACGTGTCCAAGACAGCTCGCGACCAGCTGCCAGAGCGACTCACCACCGCCGTGCAGCACACCCAGCACGAGCTCGCCCACGTGGACGGGGCTGCGGCGCGGGACGTGTGGGCGCGGGTGTTTGGGGGCGTGTTTGGGGACATTGATGAAGAGTTGAGGAAGGACCTGTTTCACAACAGGGACAGCGGGTCTACTGCTGTCGTTGCTCTCCGCCTTGTAAGTCGCATCTGTCTCTCCCTCTCTCTCAGGCTCTCATGTCTCGACGCTGGGTGGCTGAGTGGGGGGTGTTTGGCGGGGTGTGTGGGGACATTGACGAGGAGCTGAGGAAGGACCTGTTTCATAACAGGGACTGCGGGTCCAATGCAGTTGTTGCTCTCCGCCTCGTGAGTCGATTTTCTTGTTCTCTTTGCTGCCCTCGTCGCTGGGTGGGACATGTGTTGTGTGTGGGCTTGCTGCTGCACTCAAGCACCCAAGGAGCCAGGGACATGTGGGCGCTGGTGTTTGGGGGGGTGTTTGGGGGGGTGTTTGGGGGGGTGTTTGGGGACATAGACGAGGAGCTGAGGAAGGATTTGTTCCACAACAGGGACAGCGGGTCCACTGCAGTTGTCGCTCTCCGCCTTGTAAGTCGCATCTGTCTCTCCCTCTCTCGCTCTGCTGCTGCTCTCCTCGCTCGGTGGCTGAGTGGGAGGTGTCTTGGGCGGGTGTTTGGGGGGGTGTTTGGGGACATAGACGAGGAGCTGAGGAAGGATTTGTTCCACAACAGGGACAGCGGGTGTACTGCTGTTGTTGCCCTCCGCATTGTGAGTCGCCTTTTTCTCACTCTCTGCTGCTTTGTATCTGGCCTCTCTCTTGCCGCACACGCACTCCACTCCGCTGTTCCGACTTTTCAGGGCTCGGATCTGATAGTGGCGCACATAGGAGACTCGCGCTGCACTGCACTGCACTGCACTGCCAGAAATCACCTTTCCAGGCCATATTCCCTCGTTACCCCACCCAGACACTCTCCACTGCGCCCCGCGTTTCAGGGCTCGGATCTGATAATGGAGCACATAGGTGTGCCCCGCTGTGTGCTCGCTTGCACTGCCAGGGCTCTCAATGCGAAGAGCGATGGCCACCGCATTTGTTCTTTACCCCCCACAGCCACACCCTCCCTTCCCTCCTTTCTCCTCTTCCTATCTCAGGGCTCGGAGCTGATAGTGGCACACATAGGCGACTTCCGCTGTGTGCCCGCCCACACTGCCAGAGCTCCTTTTCCTCGGCATATTCCCTCCTTATCCCCCTCCCTCCCGTTCACCTTCCCCTCCCTTCCCTCCTCATCCCTCCGCTCCCCTCCCTGCCTCACGTTCTCAGGGCTCGGAGCTGATAGTGGCGCACATAGGGGACTCGCGCTGTGTTCTGGCTCGCATTTCCAGAGCTCCCAACGGGAAGAGCGACGCAGGCAGACCTTGCGTTACCACTCACCACCGCACCCTATCGTTTCTTCCACTCCCCAACCATTTTCCCAGGGATCGGAGCTGATAGTGGCACACATTGGTGATTCCCGCTGTGTGCTGGCTCGCATTGCCAGGGCTCCCAACGGGAAGAGTGATGCGGCGACCATGGAGGCCGTTCAGTTGACCATCGACCACAAGGCGAGCAACCCAGGTGAGGGACGAGGTGAACGGGATGGTGGGAGGGGGTTGAAGGAGCGGAGTGAGGGAGGGGAGTAGGGTTTGTGATTGGGCGACCATGGAGGCAGTTCAACTGACCATTGACCACAAGGCGAGCAACTCAGGTGAGGGAGGAGATGAAAGCGTTAGGGGGGCAGGGTGCTATGCGGAAGGGGGAGGAAGGTGGCTTTAGTCCTTGAATGGGAAGAGCGATGCGGCGACCATGGAGGCAGTGCAACTGACCATCGACCACAAGGCGAGCAACCCAGGTGAGGGAATGCGGGGAAGGGTGAATTGTAAGGCGAGTAGGGGAGGTGAGTAGGGGAGGTGAGTAGGGGAGGTGAGTAGGGGAGGTGAGTAGGGGAGGTGAGTAGGGGAGGTGAGTAAGGGAGGTGAGTAGGGGAGGTGAGTAGGGGAGGTGAGTAAGGGAGGTGAGTAAGGGAGGTGAGTAAGGGAGGTGAGTAAGGGAGGTGAGTAAGGGAGGTGAGTAGGGGAGGTGAGTAGGGGAGGTGAGTAGGAGAGGTGAGTAAGGGAGGTGAGTAGGGGAGGTGAGTAGGGGAGGTGAGTAGGGGAGGTGAGTAAGGGAGGTGAGTAGGTTCTGCGATGCGGCGACCATGGAGGCAGTCCAGCTGACCATCGACCACAAGGCAAGCAACCCAGGTGAGATGAGGGAAGGAGGGGTGGGTGGGCAGCGGGGGATGGGTGAATCTTGCGACGAGTCAAAGGTCCCTCGAATGGGAAGAGCGATGCGGCGACCATGGAGGCTGTACAGCTGACCATCGACCACAAGGCGAGCAACCCAGGTGAGAGGGGAGGGCAGCAGGGTGGACGAGGGCTGAAGGAGTAGGGATTGCCTGAGCTCCCAATGGGAAGAGCGATGCAGCGACCATGGAGGCAGTTCAGCTGACCATCGACCACAAGGCGAGCAACCCCGGTGAGATGATGTGAGCTGAGTGGAAGGGGAGGAGGGAGTGGTGCGGGAAGGAGGGGTGGGGGAGGTGGGGGAGAGTGGCATTTGAGAGTCGAAAGTCCCCGAATGAGCAGAGCGAAGCTGCTCAGTTACATGAACACCAGCTCTCTGTCGATTACCCCGGCAGTCGAATCTATTGTTCTCTCCCCCTTCCCCACCATCACAGCTGAGAAGGTGCGGGTGCAGGAGGCGGGCGACAAGGTGCTGAACTACATGAACACCATCGACAGAATCTTCGTGTCTCGTCTCTGCCCTCCCCCTCCTCCCCACCAACCCCATCCCCCCCTGCACCGCCTGTTACTGCTCTCTCCAGCTGAGAAGGTGCGGGTGCAGGAAGCAAGGGGCAAGGTGCTGAACTACATGAACACCATCGACAGAATCTTCCTGCCTTGTGTCTCCATCCCTCCCCTCCCCGTCCCACCTTGTCCCGCCCCTTTATCGCAGCTGAGAAGGTGCGAGTGCAGGAGGCGGGGGGGAAAGTCCTCAACTACATGAACACAATCGACAGAATCTTCCTGCCGGGGAAGAGTGAGCCGGGGCTGGCAGTGGCGCGCGCCTTTGGGGACTTTGAGCTCAAATCCCACGGACTCATCTGCCGGCCGGACGTTACTGTTCGCAGTATAGACGCCAACGACCAGTTTATTGTGATGGGCTCGGATGGGGTGAGTGGGTGGTCCGTTCATTCTACTCCTCACCGGGGTTGGCAGTGGCGCGCGCCTTTGGGGACTTTGAGCTCAAATCCCACGGGCTCATATGCCGGCCTGACGTGACTGTTCGCAGCATAGACTCCAACGACCAGTTTATTGTGATGGGCTCAGACGGGGTGAGTTCTCTGTTTTCTCTTATGGAGTCCAAAGCCAAGTCCCACGGGATCATCGGCTGGCAGTGGCGCGCGCCTTTGGGGACTTTGAGCTCAAATCCCACGGGCTCATCTGCCGGCCCGACGTCACTGTTCGCAGCATAGACGCCAACGACTAGTTTATTGTGATGGGTTCAGACGGGGTGAGTGGGTGGTCCGTTCGTTCTGCTCCTCACCGGGGCTGGCAGTGGCGCGCGCTTTTGGCGACTTTGAGCTCAAATCCCACGGGCTCATCTGCAGGCCCGATGTCACTGTTCGCAGCATAGACGCCAATGACCAGTTTATTGTGATGGGCTTGTATGTGAGCCGGATGGAACTGTGTTCGCAGAATAGACCCCAACGACCAGTTGGTGGTCATGGCATCGGATGGGGTGAGTGGTCCCTTTGTTGTGCTCCGGCTTGAAGGCATCAGGTTGTAATTCCTCTCTAGGATCCAGTGGCGAGTCCCATGGGCTTGTATGTGAGCCGGATGGAACTGTGTTCGCAGAATAGACCCCAACGACCAGTTCGTGGTCATGGCATCGGATGGGGTGAGTGGTCCCTTCGTTGTGCTCCGGCTTGAAGGCATCAGGTTGTAATTCCTCTCTAGGATCCAGTGGCGAGTCCCATGGGCTTGTATGTGAGCCGGATGGAACTGTGTTCGCAGAATAGACCCCAACGACCAGTTCGTGGTCATGGCATCGGATGGGGTGAGTGGTCCCTTCGTTGTGCTCCGGCTTGAAGGCATCAGGTTGTAATTCCTCTCTAGGATCCAGTGGCGAGTCCCATGGGCTTGTATGTGAGCCGGATGGAACTGTGTTCGCAGAATAGACCCCAACGACCAGTTGGTGGTCATGGCATCGGATGGGGTGAGTGGTCCCTTCGTTGTGCTCCGGCTTGAAGGCATCAGGTTGTAATTCCTCTCTAGGATCCAGTGGAGAGTCCCATGGGCTTGTATGTGAGCCGGATGGAACTGTGTTCGCAGAATAGACCCCAACGACCAGTTAGTGGTCATGGCATCGGATGGGGTGAGTGGTCCCTTCGTTGTGCTCCGGCTTGAAGGCATCAGGTTGTAATTCCTCTCTAGGATCCAGTGGCGAGTCCCATGGGCTTGTATGTGAGCCGGATGGAACTGTGTTCGCAGAATAGACCCCAACGACCAGTTCGTGGTTATGGCATCACATGGCCCAGGAGCAAAGCAGCTAAGCAGGTGGCTCATGGGGTGATGTTGTGGGGGTTTGTGAGTGGCCATCTCATCTACCCCACAACTACCCCCACAACTACCCCCACAACTACCCACGACCGAGCACAACCCCCCTCCATCCCCCTCCACCCCTTCAAACCCATTTGACAGGTGTGGGGCGTGCTGACTAACGCAGAGGTGGTGGAGATAGTGGCAAACACATGGCCTAAGAACAGGGCAGCGAAGCAGGTGGCTCATGGAATGATGCGCTAACCACTCACAACCCCCCTCCATCGCTCCAAACCCCTTTGACAGGTGTGGGACGTGCTGACTAACGCAGAGGTGGTGGAGATAGTGGCGAACACATGGCCCAGGAGCAAAGCAGCGAAGCAGGTGGCTCAGAAAGCCGTGGCCAAGTGGGCAGCGGAGAAACACGCCAACTCCAGAGACGATATTTCCGTTGCCGTGCTGTTCTTCTAAAGGAGATAATGGGGTGGGGGATGGAGGGGTGGGGGATGGAGGGGTGGGGGATGGAGGGGTGGGGAATGGAGGGGTGGGGGATGGGGCGGAGTGGAGGGTTGATCGCTGCTGGCAAAGCAGGTGGCACAGAAAGGCGTGGCCAAGTGGGCAGCAGAGAAACACGCCAACTCCAGAGACGACATTTCCGTTGCAGTGCTGTTCTTCTAAAGGGGCCCTTCGAGTCGACTCGATATAAGCAGATGGCCTCAAAGCAGGTGGCTCAAAAGTGGGCAGCGGAGAAACACGCCAACTCCAGAGTCGATATCTCCGTGGCAGTGCTGTTCTTCTGAAGCGGGGATGCAAAGAGGTGGGAAGGAACGGCGGTAGGGGCGAGCTGTGGCTGCTGTATCTTACCTGAAATAACAGTAGATAGCAATTCGGGGCAGAGCAGCGAAGCAGGTGGCTCGGTTGGCAGTGGCGAAGTGAGCAGAGGAGAAACACGCCAACTCCAGAGATGATCTTTGGTGGCAGTACTGATCTTCTAGAAGGGGCCAGGAATGGGAAGGGGGGATTGGGGTGGGGTGGCGGTGGCTGCAGAGTTTTCAAGTGGAGCAGACTGGCCGATGTTTTTGCAACTTGTAAAGCAGAAGGCAGTGGAAAAATGGGCAGAGGAGAAACACGTCAACTCCAGAGATGATATATCCGTGGCAGTGCTGTTCTTAGTTAACAGGGGAGTGAGAGAGGCTGTGAGGAAGTGGGGGGATGAGGGGATGATGGGAGCTGTGCTCTTTCGAGCAGTAGCAACAAAATATATTCGCAATGCAGGTAGCAATTCCAATGCTGTAAGCTCGGTTTTGCTCATAGGTATCAGTGAGGTGAAGAGCGTGGGTGGGTGGGTGTTTGCTTTTAATGGTACAAGCTGTCTCATTTTGGGTTGGTGCCGGGTGCCATCTCGGCAAAGTGTAGAAACAGGTTGGGTTGTGCGAATGTGTGCATATAGCACAGAAAAGCATCTAGGTTAAGTGTAGAGGAATGCTTGTTTGTAGCAACTCTGTGAAATCTTATACTAGCAATAGAATGTGCCAAGGATGGTTTTGAGCCAACTAAGCCAGCTCTATATACCAATATATTTGAAATACATATTTCCAATGCACTTTTTTTATAAACCATATGTGTAGTCTTAGGGCCTGTTTTCTACAGTGCAGTAGGCCAGTGTACAACACTGGCAAATACAAGGGTGGATGCCAGTACGCATAGAAAGGAAAGAAATTCTAGGTGTTTCGAACTAAACCTGCTTATTTCTTGGCGACCCATCCTCACTGTCCTCCCTGCTGCTCTTGCGACCGCTGTTCTTGCCCAATGCCCTGCTGCTGCTGCTGCTGCTGCTACTGCTGCTGCTCCTGCTGCTGCTCCTGTTGCTGCTGGATTTCCGGTTGCTGCTGTTGCTGCTGGTCTTGCACTTCTGGCTTTTCACTGTTGCTACTGCCATTGCTGCCGTCACTGCTGCCACTGCCACCACCGTCACCACCGCCGCCACTGCTGGTGCTGGTACTACCCCCATTGCCATCATCTACATAACAGGCATCCTCGTTAGAAGGCTGCACCAGGCTCTCGTGTATAAAGCTCACCTCCATACACTTGGAGCAGAGCGGGTTCATTTCAACATGGAAAATACGATAACCGAGGTTCTCAATTGCGTAGATGAGAGGTAGCGTGACTTTAGGAACGTGGATCCTGTATTTCGAGGAGGGGTAGAATGGAGGGGGAAAAGAAGGTTTGGAAAATAGAGAGGGGGGAGAGAGTGAGGGCATTGTTATAATGTGGAAGCACAGTATCCAAGATTCTCAATTGCGTAGATGAGAGGTAGAGTAACTTTGGGAACGTGGATCCTGTTTAATGGGGGCAGGGTGGATAGAAGGGAGGGGGGGAAAGGAGGGTATAGTGAGGCCACGCTTCTATTGTGCAAAGCTTGGTACCCAAGATTCTCACCGGCGTAGATGAGAGGTAGAGTAACTTTGGGAACGTGGATCCTGTTTCGTGGGGGCAGGATGTTTAGAAGGCACGAGGAATCAGGAGGAAAAAAAGGGGGGAGGAAGACGACCGAGAAGGCACGGTTTTTGTGTTTTTATTGTGGAAGTGGGAACGTGGTTGGGTGGGAGTAGAGTAGCACAGCAGCCATCTTTCTTAGGGACAGAACACATGGGCCTCCTTTTGAGTCGACTCAAAAGTCGACTCAAAAACATGGGCCTCATTCGGATGCGAACTAATTTCTGAGTCGACTCAAAAATCATCTCACCTCACCTCACTGTGGAAGTGGTTATCTCGATCTCACACCCCAGGATTCTCGGGTGTGGAATGCACACCAAGGTTCTCGGCCGATTTAACATCTTGTATGTAAAAGAGACCACGTAAAAATACAGGGACACAAGTGAACTTATTTACTCCCCCCTCCCCCACCCCCCCCCCCCAAAAAAAAAAGGAACTCACTTGTGAAACTCCACCAACAGCTGTCCAAAAGGAAGCTTCCCTCCGAACCGCACAAGCCCGGCCTTGGAATCTCCCCCCATGGCCTGCTCCAGGTCTCGGATCATCTCAATCTCACACCTCAGACCAAGATCTCGGTACATCAATTCGATATGATGTTATGTAAAAGGCACCACCATGGCTCTAAAGAGAGAAAACCTGTATATATACACATGTTATATATATGAAATAATAATAATAAATGAACTCACTTGTGAAACTCCAGCAGCAGCTGGCCGAAAGGAAGCTTCCCTCCGAACCGCACAAGCCCAGCCTTGGAATCTCCCCCCATGGCCTGCTCCAGGTCTCGGATCATCTCAATCTCACACCCCTCGCAGTCTATCTTGAGCACATCCATGTATATGCTGCTGTGAGTAGCCATGAGCTGGGGTTGGGGCGGGAAAGAGAAAGGGGTGGGGAATGGAGAAACAAAAGAGGAAGAGAGTGGGCTGAGAAGGGGTGGGGTTAAGAAAGAGCTGAACCCCTCGCAGTCAGCCTTGAGCACATCCATGTAGGCGGTGCTGTGCGTGGCCATGAGCTGGAAAAGGGGGGGGTAGAGAGGGGGGGGGGGGGGGGGGGGAGGGGGAGGAGATGTGAAGAAAAGAGGTGAAGAGAAGGGAGAATTAAGGGGTCAACCCCTCGCAGTCAGTCTTGAGCACATCCATGTAGGCCGTGCTGTGCGTGGCCGTGAGCTGGAGGGAGGAGGGGGAGAGAAAGGGTGAGAATAACGGGAAGAGAGCTGGGGGGTGTGTTAACCCCGCCCCTCCTACCCCCATCATTTCGATCTCGCACCCCTCGCAGTCTATCTTGAGCACATCCATGTATGCCGTGTTATGAGTCGCCATGAGCTGGGAGCGGGAAAGGAGGTAAGGAGTGAAGAGCAGGGTTGAAGACCAGAGAAGCGGGGGAGGGAGGGGAAACGAGGGGGCGAAATGGGGGTCAGTTCCTCCCCTTCCCTCCCCACCCATGCCCCACCCATGGCCTGCTCCAGGTCTCGGATCATCTCGATCTCGCACCCCTCGCAGTCCATCTTGAGCACATCCATGTAGTCCGTGCTGTGCGTGGCCATGAGCTGAGGAGTGGGGGGAGGAGCGGCAGAGAAGAAAGGGGCGAGGAATGGAGAAGAGTGGGGTAAGTGGGGGGTGAACCCCTCGCAGTCTATCTTTAGCACATCCATGTAGGCTGTGGTGTGCGTGGCCATGAGCTGGAGGGAGGGGAAGAGAAGGGGGTGAGCAATGAGAAACGAGTGGGGTAACACGGGAGTGACCCCTCGCAGTCAATCTTTAGCACATCCATGTAGGCCGTGCTGTGAGTGGCCATGAGCTGTGTGGGGGAAGGAGAGGGGACGGAAGGCGATATGGAGGGGGAGGAGAGTGGGCTAAGGAGGAGGTCAACCCCTTGCAGTCTATCTTGAGCACATCCATGTAGGCCGTGCTGTGAGTGGCCATGAGCTGGGGGGGAGAAGAAGGGGGTGGGGAACGGAGAACCAAAGGAGGAAGAAATGAGTGGGCTTAGAAGTTGATCAACTCCTCACAGTCAATCTTGAGCACATCCATGTAGGCGGAGCTGTGCGCGGCCATGAGCTGAGGAGGTGGAAGAGAAGGGGGTGAGGAATAGAGAAAAGAGTGGGTAACAAGGGAGTGACCCCTCACAGTCAATCTTGAGCACATCCATGTAGGCGGAGCTATGAGTCGCCATGATCTGGAGGGAGAGAGACGAAAACAAAATATACATAGCAGAAGGAAGACGATAAGGAGGGGGTGGAAGAGAGGGCTAAGAAGGGGGCGAGCCCCTCGCAGTCAATCTTGAGCACATACACGTGTGCTGCTGTGAGTGGCTACGAGCTGGAAGTGGGGACGGAGAAGACGGATAGGGAAGGGGAAGAAGCGTAGGGATGGGATAGAAGGGTAGGGAATGGGAAGAAGGGTAGGGAAGAAGGTGAAGAAAGAAGAGGACTTAAACATCTGGTTTGGTTGAGCCAAGAGATTTCCATCCTTCCCCCCACCTATTGTTTGCTCTATCCAGGTCCCTCATCACCAGTCATGACCGCGTACCACCTTGTGTCACCCCATATCACCCCGTTTCACCCCTCATCGCCCCTTATATCCTCTCGTCACCCCATATCACCCCTTATCATCCGTTATCATCCCTTATCATCCCGTATCACACCTTATAACCCCTTGTCACCACATATCACCCCTTATCGCCTCTGATCACCACTCATCTGAAAAAGCTTGCGGTCACCACTTGAACGAGTATCGGTTAAAACAGAAATAAAAAATGTAAAACACCCTCAATCAAGCATACATTTAAAGATTAGTTCACTCGCTTTCCTCTCACCTCGGGCAGAGTCGAAAAGGTGTAGCTCGGAAACATCTTTCTGTTCTTGGAAAGTTTCACTCTGCCCGAGAGGCCTTCAGGGAAGTAACGGAGAAAGGGCAGGGCGAGCATGCGTTGCTGCGCCTCTTGGGAGATGAAGGGATCGAAGGTGAGCGGTACAGCGCCTGTGGCTTTGGCGATATCCTCTTCGAACGAGTAGCTCTCCTTGCTGCCCACACTGTGGGGATGGGAGGGAAGGGGGAGGGTGGGAAAGGGGGGGATGCAGGGGAAAGAAAGCAGGGGAAGGGTCAGCATGCGTTGCTGCGCCTCGTGGGATATGAAGGGGTGGAAGGTGAGGGGTACGGCCCCTGTGGCTTTGGAGATGTCCTCTTCGAACGAGGGGGGGAAGGGGGGTGGATGGGCGGGGGATATCGACGAATATTAGTACACATGAACGAATGCAGGCGAATGTGGGCGAATGTGGGCGAATGTAGACGAATGTGATACTGTTTAGGAGGCCTAGGAAGGGTCGAATGGCAATTGGGGTGGGGGATGGAAGGTGGGGTGGAGAACAGGGGAGCACAGAAACAGTTGCAGCCTTGGGAGGGTTCCTCTACCTCTGGGAACGTTGTGTTTCAGAAGTAGATGGATCCTCTAGCATTGAGGTGTATTTTGAGGCTCGTTGCAGCCTTGGGAGGGTTCCTCTACCTCTGGGAACGTTGATGTGTGTTTCAGAGGTAGAGGGATCCTCTCTGCGTACCCTTTCACACCCACTTGCACTCACACACACCCATTCACACCCACCCAGGCACCGTCTTACGCCCACCCACCCACCCACACCGCCACCCAGCCACCTAGCCATACACCCACACCCCCACCAAGCCAGACACCCCCAACTCTGTTCGTGTGACTTTTTAAGAATTCTCAAAAGTAACACCAACACACCCCCACCAAGCCAGACACCCCCAACTCTGTTCGTGTGACTTTTTAGGAATTCTCAAAAGTAACACCAACACACCCCCACCAAGCCAGACACCCCCAACTCACACACCCATACACAACAGGTTCGGTTTAAAAGGCAGTTGGCTCGCAGCGTGCATACCCACCCCCTTCCTTTCCCCCCTCCTTAACTCCCTCCCCCACACACACCCACCCACCCAAAATGCTCCTTCGCTCCGCTAATCACACGCACCTGTACACTACGGGTTTGGATTGAAAAGCAGTTGGCAGCACGCAGACCCACTGCCGCAGAGCAAAGGGGAAGAGGGGGGTGGGGGGTTCGTCGGGGGTGGGGAGAATGAGGAAGGGAAGGGGGAATGGAAGGGGACAAAAGACATAGGGCGGTGAGGGAAGAGAGAGGGCGGCGAGGAAAGAAAGACGGCGGCAGGGTACGTGGGATGGGAGTGATAGCCTTAGTCAGCATATCAGGAACATACAGCACTGCTGGTTACTTTCATCCGTCCACTCCGCCTGTATCACAATCTCTCTCCGTCTTCCTCTCCTCCCACCCAACCCTCCCTTGTTTCCATCTCCCCATCTCTCTCCTCTCTCTCCGTTCTCCCTCCTCCCCGCTTCTTGCCCCTCCCCTCCCCTCTTTCCCTCTCTCCCACTCACATCCATCCTCCAGCCTCACCTTTCCGCCTTCCCCCGAGACGCCCAGCCGTTGTTCGCGGGAGCAAGGGTACACGGGAGCGATGGCATTAGTCAGCATATCGGGAACGGACAGCTTTTCTGGCTGCTTCCCCTCCTCCCCACCCACCATTATCCATCTCCCCCTTGCTCGCTCACTATCGCACCCTCTCGCGCCTCTCGCCCCCTTTTTCCTTCCCAGTCCGCCCATTTCCCCGTCCACTCCTCTTCCACCCACCCACCCACCCCCTTGCCTTACCCTTCCCACTTCCCCTCATCTGCCCTCTCTCATCTCTTACCTTTCCGCCTTCCCCCCCACACGCCCAGCCGTTGCTCGCGCGGCCAGGGGTACATGGGAGCAATGAGCCTTAGTAGTCAGCATATCAGGAACTGACAGCACGGCCGGCTGCTTCCCTTCCTCCCCACCCACCATCCCTTTCCCCCTTCTTTCCCCCTCGCCCACCTTCGCCCCCTCTCGCTCCTCTCGCTCCCCTTTTCCCTTCCCCCTTCCCGGTCCCCCTTCCCGCTCCCCCTCCCCTCGTCTACCCACCCTCCTCTTCTTACCTTTCCGCCTTCCTCCCACACGCCCAGCCGTTGCTCGCGCGGCCAGGGGTACATGGGAGCGATGGCATTAGTCCGCATATCAGCAACGGACAGCACGGCTGACTGCTTCCTTACCTCCCCTCCTCCCCTCTCTCTCTCTCCCTCTTTCCTACTCCCGCTCTTCTTCCGTGCTCTTCTCCCGCTCCCCCTTCTCACCCCACCCGACCCTTTTCTTTTCCTCCCTTTCCCCCCTCCCATCTCCTACGCATTCTCCTCTCTCACCTTTCCGCCTTCCCCCCACACGCCCAGCCGTTGCTCGCGCGGGCAGGGGTACATGGGAGCGATGGCCTTAGTCAGCATATCAGCAACGGACAGCACGGCCGGCTGCAGGAGACCTTTAAACGACGCCACGCGACGCGCCTTATTCGCCGCGTATGCCGCTTCCGCTCGGCACAGCTCGGAATCGAGCTCGCTTTGCGCCTTAACGTAGTACGGCTGTAACGCGGATAGACGGCCGGGGGATTCGTCGGGAGCCTGTCGCTGAAGCTGCAGCTCCGCGTCGCATGATTGCGACGAGTTGTACTGGACGCCCAGGAATACGACGACCAGCAACGCGCCTGCGACGATGTACGGATTCGCACGTCGCTTCTGCGACTCGTGGCGGCGCGGCGACGGCGACGGCGACTCGTTTGGGAGAGAGGCGCCCATTTTGTTTTCTCCCCGCTGGAGCAATGGTTTGCTTTCGTGAGGCAGATTATTTCTCAATCAAAACTACAAAGCGCCAGACTACATATGTTTCTGATACGAAAACCAAACACCAGAGTTTCAAATACTGCGTCAGAGATCGAGTACCTAATAATCTGCCTGAGAACATACTTGGGTGGGAAGAGTGGGGGAAAAGGGAGGAAGGATGCTTGGTGCATGTGGGCCTTTACCATTGCTCCCAGTAATAGGTGTAAAGTACGTTTCCAAACGGTTGAGTCTGATGCGTAGCGTTCAGATCTGGTTCTGATCTTCTTCACCGTCTTGGAATATTAGGAACCGACGAGGACCGCAGGAAACGCACTCTGCGACGCGCCTGGAGTGGAGCAAGAGCGCACAAGCCATTCGCCAATCAGCAGCAAGTACAACACAGGCCACAACACAAGCGATTCGCCGGTTAATGGCGAGGTGTCAAGACTCAAAAGGGAACGAATGACACTCAATCGAGGGGGCGAAGTCGGTAAGTACGAGTTTCTGTTATAATGGGATTGAATGAGCATGGCCGACATTCGTTAGAAGAGTCACACGTGCTCCTACAATTGAGGTTTCCCAGAAAAATCGTTTTTGTTACTATCTTGTAGCGCGCCCTTGTAAAATGCACTCATACTTGTGTTATCGAGGAAGCGGTTATGGGATCGCTCTGACATCTAAATGAGCATCTTGCCCTAAAGTCGCATCGCATCGCATCGCCTTCTAAATCGTCCCCTTGGTTTCTAAGGCTCTACACCGTAACTGATACACTAAAATTCCAGAATCAGACCAGTCAATCCCCCGCAAGCAGTTCCGATCGTTCCAGCCGTAGAGTGGGATCACTATGAAGAGACAAACGGAAGCCACCAGTCACACCCACGACATGCTGACTCCTAACCCTCCTGACTCCTCTAACGAGCATACTGCCCTATCCATAAGCTACTCAGACAGTTATTCTCAACATCCAGAAGCTTATCCAAATCACCATAACGGAGTCAGCGATAACGACAGCCATAGATTCAGCAGCAAGAAAGCTAGCACATCTACAAGAACTGACTCTATTGCAAATCCAGATGCCGCTACTGCCGATCGCTACTTGGTCAATCAGGTCGATCTTCCTCCTGTGAACCCTAGCGCGGGTAAATTCCCGTGCTGCCTGGTCTGGACTCCTCTGCCAGTGATCGCGTGGCTCGTGCCGTTCATCGGTCACTTGGGGATTTGCCGGGAGGACGGCACCATTCTGGACTTCGCAGGGTCGTACTTCGTCTGCGTGGACAATTTCGCCTTCGGAGCTGCGTCGCGATACCTCCAGTTAGACCCAGCTAAGGTACGTACATGGCTTGAATTGTTCTTCCGCTAGGCCGAGTTTAGAGTCTGCACGCCCGTTACCAGCCCCAATACTCCCTTCCCCTTCCGCCTTCCCCACGTTCGGGCCTCTTCAGTGTGTGGGCCTTTGTTTCACAAGCAAGATTGGGCCCACATCACTCTAGTCTAGCCTCACTCGGCTCTTGTACTGCCCTCTTCAGCTGTTCTCGCTCCTCCTACTTCAGCCAAGCTTGGCATCACCTCCTGTTTAAGCCTATGCAGAACTCTGTCTATTTTCACACAGATTGGACCACCGCATAAGTCCGGCGTCGTTCCCTTCCAGTCCATTTTTCCCACTTCTGCATTCCCTTCCCTCTGCGCTCAAGTCTTGCCCTCCTTCCCTCTACATTCATCCTTTTCCACCTTCACCCCTTTGCGTTCCATCCTTCCCCTCCTTCCTTCTGCATTGTATCCTCCCCTCCTTCCGTTTGCATTCCATACCTCCCCTCCTCTCTTTGGAGTTTCCATCCCTCTATTGCATCCTTCCCCTCCTTCCCTCTGCATTCCATCCCTCCCCTCCTTCCGTTCATTGCATCCTTCCCCTCCCTCTCTCCCACTGCGTTCCATCCTTTCCCTCCTTCCCTCTGCATTGTATCCTTCTCCTCCTTCCCTCTGCATTCCATCCTTCCCATCCTTCCCCTCCTTCCTTCTTTATTGCATCCTTCTCCACTCCCCTCTGCATTGCATCTTTTCCCACCTTCCGTCTGGGCTGCATGCCCCCCTACCAGGCATGTCTGCCATCCAACTTGTCAGGGCACATCTGCAGCACGCCCTTTTTCCATGCAGACTATGGCACGTCTCAGAGCTGGGACCAGGCTTTAGCAGCAACAGTTCGCACATATCAGCATGCTTTCTACAACATTTTCACCTCTAATTGCCATTCGTTTGTGGCTTGCTGCCTCAATCGGATGGCTTACAACGGAAGTTCGAATTGGAATGTGGTGGAGCTTGCTGCGCTTCTGTTTGTCCGTGGTAAATGGGTCAGCAACAGAGCAATGATAGGGGCGTTTGCACCTTACGTAGTAGTGATGGTTCTCGGGATCTACTTGGCAGGACTTACGTTTGTTGTCTTTTGGTTGGGCTTTTCAGCTCTTTTAGTTGGGTGGTTTGTTATTGGAACATACGGATTCAAGGGCCTGGTGAGGAGCACCTGATAGCATGAATGTCTTCTATGCAGAGTGTAAATGACTACAACTTGGTGAAATATTCCACGAGTTGAGAAGTGTGATGTAGGTATAGCAAGAATTATCTACAACGTGAGGATAATTCTTGTGGAGTCTCCTTTTCGCGAATCAATAGGTTCCTGAACGACACGTGAGCTGTGCCGACACATTCACCCCACTCAGATCAATGTGTTCCACGCGTCACCCGTTCATTTCTTCTGTCCAGATCGTGAGCGGTCCCTGTCAGCATGCGGCTCGTCGACCCCAAATGCAGCTTTTTTTTCGCAAAACACACCCACTCGACTCCCTCCTCCACAAAGACAAGGCGAACCCAATTTCTCAGCAGCAGATATTCAAGAATCCGCTTTCCTAGTGCTCTTGATTCAACGCTGGTCCTGTTGTCGTTGCGTCTTCCTGAGGAGTAAATCGAGGTTGTTAGGCTTTCGACTTACTGCTCAACAGGTCTACGTCATTTCTCCTCGCGATGGCACAGGCACTCGCCACTCCCCTTCCGTGTTGTGCAACTTTTTCGGCAGCGACCAGCACCAGCAAGAAAACAGTGTACCTAGGTTCTCCGGCTTCCAGCTCCTTTAGCCTGTCGCAAGCCTCAGGCGGGCGATGCTTTTTAACATGTGGGAGGCAGTCACGGAGCCTCTCCTTCAGTCGGGTGGCTCGGCGCGCTGTTGTTCGTTCCCAAGCGACCACCGAAGGTGAGCATTGCTTTGTGTTCCAGGATGAAGTATTTGCAGAATCTATCGCACACAAGATACACACGTTTATTGCTTGATGTACTGCTACTGTCGGCTTAGACAAACTCAGGTGAGTAGTGCTTGAGATGGGGGAGATTATGGAGAACGTGACTGTCAGAACTGAATGATATGGACACAGAATTGTCAAAATTGGATTAATGTTTTTGTAACTAGGGATTATGTGTTGATAACAAGCAAGAGGCAAGCATCTGTCACAACCATCCTGTCCATTCAAAGCATGCCACATTTTGCATGCCCTCTCTGTTTTGCAGTTTAATCTCACTCGGATAAGCAGGTTCTGATGTTTGCTTCCTGATGTGCGCGGCATATTATAACCTTTCTCCATCCCCAATTGCCCAACGTATCGCTCCCTTTTATTCCCAAACAGAAGCACCCATAGCATTTCAGATCGGTGAAACGAGCCTCTCCATTCCTTTCTCTGTGGAGAGAGCTAAGGCTCTCGACGCTGCCATATCCACCCTCCTGCAAACCTTCCGGGAGAAGGAGAAGGCCACCCGACCACAGAGATGGACCACGATGGAGTTTCGCCATGCTGGGGATGTCAGTAACGGGGATGTCTTTATCGAGGTATTCTGCAACCCTAACGCCTATGCGAATGCGTTTCAGGCTAAGGCGCTGATTACAGTGAAGGATGACCGTATGAAGTTCACTTCGGAAGGTGCTTTGAGCGCCATCAAGGCGAACGTAGATGAATACTTGATGAGGAATGCTTGAGGGCTGGCCAAGCTGACGATTTTACTACACTCAAAAAGGAAACGTGCAGGTTGTGCATCCATTGGAATGCGTAGTAGACAAAGTGCATTATTCTGCATTCGTGTACACAAAGTTTAGAGCTCTGACCCGACTACATACAGTAACTATTGTTGTTATGGAGGAGTGGCAATGTGGCCATGAAATGACAGCCACCGCTGCCCCCAGCATCATCATCATCAGCACCATCTTTACTACCGTAGCCTGGGCTCTTCTTACTCTTCCTTACCATCCATGTCCACATGAGTAGAGAAGTTATTCCGTGGAAAATAGATCTCATGCGGGACCCTTTTAGAGTGCACTTTTGTTACATTCTCATGCTAAAACCTTCTGAAAACTATCTAGCAAAATGGGGTGGTGGTGTTGATCAAATCATACTTTTGTTGTACTTCATAAATGTACTGCATAAAGTTGGCAGGTATCCGCTATTGGTTCGGACACCAAGTCATCTGAAATAATCCTTGACCCTTGGGGCTCGGCTTTTGGGTACAGGGGTCAATCCGCCCTCTCCGTGCCTGTGTCGTTGCCCCTTCAGTGCGTCTATGCTCTCGAGAGAATTCTGGTTTCGAGCAATTCCCTCTGAAATCCAGCTCGGTCGAGCATTCTGCATGTCCATGCCGCCATGACAAGCTGGCTCCTGTCACGTGCTCGGAATTACCACAAGCAGAACGCGTACAGCGTCAACCGCCACAGAAGCAACGTCGAATGGTGTCGGAGAAGGCAAGGCAATCTGCAAAGAGATTGCAACAGCAATCCACTAGAGCGATCTGTACTCGAGCAATCTAGTCTACCGCTCAGAATCGACCAGGATTTTGCAGCCGTGATCTGCAGACAGCCGCCATTTGCCGTCCTCGTTTTCCAAGTATTATCCTGGACGGAGGAGGAGAACTTGGCAATACACTGTTGCGTGCAGACATAGCCAGAATGTTTCGAGCTTCGTTATCACAGCAAATCTACAACCATTTTGAAGAAACAAGAATATATGTTGAGGACCTGTGCACCATGAGGCCATTGCTTAGTTCTGTCGTGCAGCTTCTGAAAGCTGCACAGAGGTCGCTCCTAACTTGTAATTCAAGTAACCTTTGGTACCCATCTCGATTTCGCATGCGACTGCAGCCCGTTACTTTCTCATACTCGTGTGGCTACGTGGGTTAGGAAGTTTGATCCCTGCTACCATTGGCTTAGAGAGGCTAACCAGGTTATTCTCGCCTTCAGAGAGATTCCAGGAAAGGATCGTTTTGTGCCGAGTTTAGGATCGGAGGATGCGTCCCGGGGACTCTGCGTCGGTCGAGATTCACCAGAGTCAGTGCGACTGTTTTTTCGTTACCTGTCCTTCGCGCGTGATAGCCCAGTTCGGATTCTCACATGATGGTTCGTTTACCTTTCGTGCAGATGGCGTGGTTCAAAGTCCACCTCGTGTGCCAAGGCGTAGGTTCCAGCCAAAAATCTGGGTGAAGCTGACATTTTTTGTGGGTGCTCTGGTTCTCATATGTTCGGGGGTTCCCGCTATCGTTCTCTGGAGGCTGTCAAAGGCAACATTGACGGAAGAAATGCGGGAAAGGCTTAACATTGTTGCTAGCCTTCGGCAAGAACAGGTAGATCTTTATGAATGGATGGTTTTCGATACGTCCGCTCCAACTGGTGATCATTATTGTAATGTTCTTCGTGCTGTTATCTGGCAGATACTCAGTTACATTACAGGAAATCAGGACACGGTGAAACTGATCGCATCTCGTGTCGTCATTTCGGCCCTGCTTCTCAAGCACATGCAAGGGAAGGTAAATCTCACCGAAAGTGACAATAAGAAGGGTACTGAGGATCTGAACTCTGCTGTAATGAGTGCAGCTAATGTCATGTCGTTAGGAGCTTACTGTGATGAGGGCGAACTGTTGTTCTCCAGCACGCATCCAGCTGATGTGAAGCCACTGCCTAAACGCTTGCAAGGACGGGCTCTGAGCGTCAGGAACAGAAACACGTCAGTGTGGTCCGGAACCCCATACGTGGGGTACAATCGTACGCTGCTCATCGATGTTGCAGTCCCGTCTACCACCAGGTGCACAGAACGATTCGCCCATTTTGTTCTTTCTCGTTTCCATCTGTCACTGCTGGTTGGCAATAATATTTTCTTGCAATTTTTTTGTTCTCTTTGCTATCAGGAGGTTTTTTGCGGGATAATTGTGGCGAAAGTTGATGCCAAGAAGTTCAAGCGAATTGTGCAAGATGATACTGGGCTTCAATCCACAGGACAGCTTATCGTTGCCTATCTCACTGAGAACGAGAACCTCGTGAACTTCATAATTCCTCCTGTGAAGGCTCCTTCTGTTATGAACACGACATACAAGGGAGTTGCCTTTATGGCAGCGGAAGGCCAAATTGGTTATTTTGAAGGGCTTGACTTCCGTGGAGTTGAAGTCATAGCTTCCTACCGACCTGTTGGCTATGATAACTGGGGTATGCTGGTTTTTGTTCTTGCCGTGCTGCGTTCTCCTAGCCCTCATAGTTGCACACGCTCTCTTTCTGTTCCACGTACCATCTTTCAATTTTTCCCTTTTCTTCCTTCAAACATGCACGCGGACTTGCAGGCCTGGCAGCCACAGTCGACAAATCAGAAGCATACTCGTCAACCAAGAAGCTCGAAAAGATCATTCTCATTTCAATGTCTTGCATTTTTGTTCTGGGAATCCTGGCAGCATCTTTACTGGCCAAGGTATGACGGCGCCTTTATGTTTGCTGTGTTAATTAGAAGCCATTGTGCGTAGAACTGACGTCTTACAATGCCGAATCCGTCTATGTTGCAGTATTTCTCCCATCCAATCATGGATCTTGGTGACGCAGCTAGCAAACTTGCACGTGGTGATTACAGTGCAAGAGCCCATGGTCGACGAGACTGCTTGAAGGATGAGATTGATGAGCTTTGTTGTGTCTTCAACTACATGGCTGATCAGATTTCCTCTTCCTACTCAACTTTGGAACAGAAGGTGTGTCGTCTTGTTTCTTGTCATTTTTTGTCCTCCCCATCCAAACATCTACTACGGTATAAGTGTTTAAACCCAACAAAAAAAAAAAAATGGATCCATCCAAACATCAGGTAGTGGAGCGGACACGGGATCTTGCCCTCCTGAACGAGGGATTGTCTGCTGAAGTGGAGGAAAGGAAGAAGATTGAGTTACAGCTTCAGGATGCGAAGGAGCAGGCGGTCTCAGCAGACAAGGCAAAATCAGAGTTCCTGGCAAATATGTCGCATGAAATCAGAACACCCCTGAATGGGATTATTAATTGCACGGAGCTCTGTTTGGATACTGCTCTTAGCACCGAGCAGATCGAGTATCTTGAGCTGGTAAGAGATTTCTATTTCGCGCTGGTAAACCCTGGTAAGACTTTTGCTAACTGTTGATTTCGTTGGGACCTGGAATGACAATCTTCTCCGTGTGGTGCAGTCTTTGTATTCAGCGAAGCACCTTCTGCGCCTGATTGCTGACATCTTGGATTTCAGCAAAATTGAGGCTGGAAAGATGGACTTGGAGAAAATTGAGTTTTCCTTGGAAGACCAGGTAGCTGCATTCTTACGATTACCTGCATCTATTGCACTTTTAGTTGCTCTAGAATTTCCTCATCTGACGCTTTCTTCCACAGATGGAGCACGCCGTATCTGTGCTTGCAACTAGGGCAAGGAAGAAAGGGCTTACACTTGTATCATGGCTGAAGTCCTCAAATGTGCCTGAAGTTCTTTTGGGTGACCCTGGACGGCGTTTGCAGATCTTCATCAATTTGTTAGGTAAGAGATGATTGCGTTGAACTCTTACAATCTTTGATGAATGTGATTTTCATGGACTGCAATGTTTTCGCAGGAAATGGCATTAAGTTTACTGACAAGGGAGAGGTTCTGCTTTCAGCAATTCTGGTCTCTGCTGATGATCGGTTGGCAGAGGTTCTTTTTGCGGTTAAAGACACAGGTTCGTATGTTTTCAATGATTTTGGTTTCCAATTGCAACCAATGTCCCTGAGAATAACCATCATGCTTACGTCTTCTATCAGGGATTGGCATACCACAGGCGAAACAATCACTTTTGTTTCAAGCATTCAGTCAAGTCCACGCATCAGACTCAAGGTGAACACTAGTCATTCTGAGACCTTTCACTTACAGTGTTTCTCCGCTTTTAACATTCGCTCAAGAAAATTGTTGGGTTATTCAGGTTGTATGGAGGGACGGGTCTGGGGTTGATGATGTCATCGCGCCTAGCTAATGCCATGGGTGGGCATATGTGGGTTGAGAGTGAAGAAGGCCAAGGATCGACATTCTTTTTCACTGCCAAGTTCTCCATACCAGCGAAGATTGTCCCATCACCAAAGCTGGTTCCATGCGGTTGTTTGTGCCCGAAATTCAACCATCTGCGTGTCTTGGTTGTTGATGGGAATGAATCGACCAGGAAGTCTATCATTTCGACTCTCGAGGTAGGGTTTGTCCAGTGTTAACGTTCTGATTTTGGACCAATAATGCTGTACGGTTGCATGTGTGCCATTTCTTAGAAGTTGATATGTATTATTTGATTACCTGTTTTCTTGTGCAGAAATTGGATGTGAAGGTTGATGAAGCTGCTGATGCGATCTCGGCTCTGGAAAAGCTTCAAAGAGCACTGTATGATGAGCTGCCTTATACCCTTCTGATTGTCGATTCAAAAATTGGTGATGGGGACAACAGCCCAAGGTCCTCTCCTGTCGACTGCAAGTGGCTGCTTAACCATGTCAAAGGGCAGAGTCTGCTCCATCTAGACAAGTCCGGATGTCGATTTCAGAATGGAGCCAACAGGAGCAGTGCTGTGCAGGACATTGAGGACTTTGCTGAGCCACTCACGCCAGATTCACTATTTTCAGAAGTTCCTCACTTCAGACATCAGCAGCAATTAAAAACAGGGGCTGGCTTTGCGGAATTGAGAGCCAACCGTGAAGTGATGCAGATGCAGGAGTGCAGCCAGGCGTCTCTTTCCAGTTCAACTGATGGGCCGCAGGAATCCGCAAGGGATGAGGTGCTTCCTGTTGTGTTATTGACACCTGGGAGTACCGATGACAAGTCTTTGTAAGTGAGCAGTATTTTCTTGCTTTGCATGGTTTCTTGCCACCTCGGTCACTGATTTTTGCCATATGAACAGGTGCAAGAATCTTGGCGTGAAGTGGTATGCTCCCAAGCCTGTGAAACGGGAAATGCTTGTTCGAAGGGTCAAGCAGGCACAACATCTCCCTCTGCATGTAATGATTTCTTCATGGGCTCTTGTTTTCATTCTCTGGAGGGTTGCCTGTTTCTTTTCCAGATGAGTGAAGTCCAATTGCAATGCTGTTGCTGCTGCAGGATCGGCTGTCCACCACAAACTCAGCTACTTCGGATGAGGTGGCTGCAGCAGCTGAAAGTGACAAGAGCTTGAAGGTCCTGGTTGCAGAGGATAATATTGTGAACCAACGGGTGGCATTGACTCTTCTTCGCAAGTGGGGGCATGAAGCAGTTCTGGCCAGTAATGGAGAAGAAGCTGTGAAGAAGGTTCAAACAGATGACTTTGATGTTATATTAATGGATGTAAGTCCTAGAACCTTCTGTTCTTCCTTACTTGTGCCATACATTCTTTGTCTCATTGACTCTGCTTTAATTTATGTCCATTATTCTGCTGTGCACATACAGGTCCAAATGCCAGTTTGTGATGGGCTACAGGCAACCAAGAGGATTCGGGACTACGAGTCTACGAAGAACCACCACACTCCAATCATCGCAGTAATGCTTGCAAATGGTGTTTTGACCAATGTTGATCTGTCAGCATGGCACAAGCTAACAAGTGTGCGTCCTTTTGCAGATGACTGCACAAGCTCTGATTGGAGATGGAATGAAATGCATCGATGCAGGGATGGATTCCTACATGAGCAAGCCTGTAAGTTTCTACTGGCGGTACAGAGGTGTTCCACCTTTTCAGTTTTCTAATACCACGATGGTTGGGATGGAATATGCTTGCAGCTAAATGCCTCCAAGCTGAAGGATCTGTTGAGGCTAGTATGCCGATCACACGCCCTTCCAAAGCCAACAAATGAGTCTACCAGGGAGTTCTGACATTCATTAAATGCTACATGCAATATGCATCAATATATGCATGGATGGGTGCCTGCCTCCCGGTTTTTGGCAATGGTACTGTAGATGTATTTCTGCTCTGTGCATTTTGGCAGAGCATTCATTGCATTGTTAGTATTGTATTGTGCAGCTAAAACTGTTGTATTGTTCCAGACACATGCATATAAAATGTGATGTCTGATTTCTTTTATTCATATCCTGTTACAGCTGTAAGGTTCTTGTCCTGTCCATCCAGTTACGGTATGAATAGGTAGAAATCAAAGATTTAGAAAGATTTAGAAAGTGGATGGGGTGGGGTTTGACAACTGGTCCTCCCGAACAGGTTTTATACGTACCTACCAATGTGCATTAAAACCAGGGTACACATTCAACGCGACTCCAGGCTAAATTTTGGGCGGCATGTTTGCGGGAACTGCTGATTGGTTGACGAGTAGCGAATAAATAGTTGAGAATGGGCGAGCATGGGGCTTTTCGTCCGTGAGAGATGAGGCTTGGCAGGGGAGAAATTGATAACACTTGGATCTAGAAATTGGGGATCAAGGGGAGGGCAACTGGGTTGGCGGAAAGGGGAAAGGGGGTGAGACGATATTGTGGGGGAAGGGGAAACAATTTCGGTGGGAGCGGAATAGGTATGGGGAGGGGGGAAACGAATTGGCGGAAGCACATTCGATGACTTCGGTATACATTTGCCAAATCTCGAGGGTTCAAATGTTCACCTGCTGAAGCGAACACTCCCCCCAGATATTCCTAAATCACTGAGTAACCCCGAGGTCAAAGGTTAACCTTTGACAGAAATCCAATTGAATGTGCACCCTGGTTTCTTGGGTGCAAAACAGATCTTCTTGGGCCAAAATTAGAGTAATCACTCAGCCAGCAATGCAACCACTTTCATGTGAGATGCCATAGAATGATCAGTTTCCTTCAGCAACAGGCAAAAAAACTTTTTGAACCTAGCATCCAACCTACAACTACTATTATTTTGCCTCCTGTCTGCTTGACAGTGTTTTCTAGCATCAACTGACTTCACTGGGATACGCAATCCACCACCAGACAACACCAGAATAGCAGGAACGGGGGAATGCAATTGGTGGGTTTAGTTGGCCAAAAGCTATGCTATTGGGGTGGCCGATAACAAGCAGCCTGATGGATGGCATGGTGAAGAATTAAGAGTTACTCCATGTTTGAGGTTGGAACAGCTTCATTGTGCCAATTCACTGGCCACAGCACCTGCTGATTCTGATTGGACCTCGGATGATGACGGCGCTACAGCTGCAGCAGCTGCAGCTCCACCCCCTGCCAGTCTATCAGCTTCTGTCCCTGCATGTACTTCACTGTTACCTCCCTGAAAGTCTTGCTGCCCTCCTACTTCACCTGTCTCCCCCACACCCCTGATTCCTTCTCCCAAGGAGTTCCCCTCTATGCCTGAGACTACCTCACCAGTTGCCTCTGCTACATCACCTGCTACTACGGGAACTTCGGTTGCTGTTGCGTCGGTGGCCGGAGACTCATCTGTAGTTTCACCTGAAGTGGTGTCAGTCTGTGCCTCTGTTGAAGCCTCTGTGAGTGGAGCAGCTGCAGCGTCAGCTTTGGTATCAAGAGCATCGTCAGATTGCGCTGCAGCAGTTTCTTCTGTTGTTGCCTCTGGCGTGGAAGCTGCAACAAAGGGTGAACTCTCAAAAACGTCCACAGCCTGCTGGGTGCTTCCTGACTCTACACTCGATTCTTGAGTGATTGCTGCTGCAACATCAGCACCAGCGCTGCCGGACTCCTCAATGCTTTCTGCTGCACCAATTTCAGAAGATTCATCAGTGCTTACCACAGCTACATCCATCTCAGTGACTGCGACAGCACCAGAACTTTCACTGCTTCTTGTAACTTCAGATGCTGAATCTTCAGCTCCAACAGAAACCGCTGCCACGTCAACTTCCCCTGCAGCTGCCTCTTCAACTGCCAATTCAGCTGCCCCTTCAACTGCCTCTTCCGCTGCCCCTTCACCTGCCCCTTCAGCTGCCCCTTCAACTGCCAAATCAGCTGCCCCTTCCACTGCCACTTCCACTGCCCCTTCTGCTATTCCTGCACTACCCTCTCCACCATCACCTGCTGCTGCCATCTGCTGCTCTTCTTGAAACGCCACCCATGCGGTTTGTGCTGCCTCTGATGATGTGAACAGGCTGCTGGGACCGTCCAGCAGCAACGGCCTGGGTACGCAGGGAGAGCGAGACACGCATTCAATGGCAGGGGAGTGACAACGGTAAACAGATGGAAACACGGAGGATAAAGGGAAATGCGATGGAGCGTTCAACATAACGAGCAAAAATGGCGTCAAGGGGGACAGGCGGAAAGGGCGGCGGTGGGCGGGGAGGGAGAAGGGGGGGGGGGGGGGGGGGGGGAATGGATTTCAATCGAGCAAGCACGAGAAATAAACCACAGGATCGCGCCCAGCCCAGGATCGAGAAAGCACAGCGAGCTCACTTGAAGCCGGATTCATCAGTGCCAGTCTGCTCGGTGCCTTCCTCTTCCTCTTCATCTGCAGCCTCTTCATCTGCACCGTCTTCACCCTCGGGCTTGTCACTGGACAGAGGCTTGTCAGGCTCCTCAGCTGCAGGCGTGGGCAGCAGCTCAGACGCCCCACTGAAACGCACAGTAGAGTGCATGAGAGAGAGAAAGAGTATGCGCCTTGGTAAGTTTTAAGTCGCCTGAACAATTACCTCAAGAGGAAAGGTGAAACGCGTGATGGGAATGAACATGACTTGCAACTGGCACATACAGTCCTGAGAACGAGACAGTACCGTGCTTGCTCGTACATATGATGCATACGTGCACTGGTATGGGCCAAATGGCTGCATCCCATGAGAAAACCAGTTACTGTACCTCGTGGGTGCATTCTCAGTAAGGGCCAACGTCTCGATTTCTTGCTCCGCCTTCACCAGGTCCACGTCATACTGCAAAAAGGCAAGAAAAGGATACAGTTATTAAAGACACCTGTCGTGGCAACCCGTCCCACTGTCCTGTGCTTCTGATACACCCTGATTATAGGCGTATTCAGATTGTTGTGAATGTAACCAGCCTGTGCTCACACGAGTACTTGTTCGATACAATAGCATGTCCGATATATGCAGAAGCAAAAGAAATCAGGCAAGAAATTGATGGCGAGGACGCGTAGAAAACCACCAGATGGACACAGCACATCAGAAACAGTTAACTAAACACATAAGGTAGAACGCAGCAATAATGTTTCAAAAGAGAGGGGTCGGGTAAGGGGGGGCAAGGGGATGAGGTGGGGGAGAGGAAGAGGTGAGGGAGGGGAGGAAGGGGGAGGGGAAGAGATGAGGGAGGGGACGAGGGGGCAGGAGAGGGTGGGGGAGGTGGAGAGGAGCACTTACGGGATCCCTGAGCTCGTGGCCCTGAGAGCAAAGGAGAGGTGCCACACCAGAGCGAGTAACAGCCCCACATGCAGTTCACAACAGCAAGCACAACCCCCTGGCACAAGGATGAGTAGCTGCTGCGGCTGCCGCTACTGCCGCTGCTGCGGCTGGCTTGCAATGCGTGGCAGATGCAGCAGCAGCCACTGCTACATCGGAGCAAGAGCTAGAGCGCGGCGAGAGAGGGAAGAGGGGCAGCGACCATCAAGCAAGCAACAGGCAAACAAGCAAGTGACAGCGCTTCAACAGAAAAAACACAGGCTGAATTAGAGATAAAAGGGTAGTAAAGAGAGGGGATCAGAGGCAACAGAGGAAAGAGAATGGCAGGAAAACAAAGGCCGACAAAGCAGTGCAATGCAAGGCAGGAGAAGACAGATTCACGACTCAAAGGGAGAGGGGTGGAATGGGAAACGGGGTGGTGGGTGAGGGGCGAAGGGAGGGGGAGGAACAAGGCAAAAGCACGAGGGGAGGAGTAAAAGAATAGTGGCGATTTCGGAGCTGTCTTAAAGCTCAAGAAGACGCGGCGAGATCATACCTCTTCCACGTCGTCTGAGTCAAGCAGCGACTGCCCATAGGCGTATTGGCCGTAGCTCCTGTTGGCGTTCGAGCCCCCTGTGAGCGAGATGGTGGAGATGTCAAAGTCCCGGTCGCGGCTGTTGAACTCGTCATCGTCACTGTCGCCTGGCCGGTCGTCCAGCGCTGCTGGCCGCCTGGCAAACGGGCAAGAACGGGTGGGATACGATGTGGGGGGTGCGAAGGGCATGTGATGGGCTTTGATGCGCCTCAAAAGTCGGCCAGCGCTGGTCGGCTGGAAAACTGGCAGGAGCGTGTGGGATACTGTGGGAGGAGACGGTGGCATGTGGTGAGGGATCAAGTGATGCAGAGGCTGGCAGCAGTAGCAACTTGTTGTTCTATTTAAGCTTGAGAGGGTGGGGAATCGACAGATGAAGCCACAAAACTATGGAACTTTTGGGGATGGTGGGAGTGACAGAACGCAAGAAGAGATAGGGTGCAGACGAAGGCATACCCGCAAGACCACTGGTAGACATTCTCGAGCAAAAGACGTTTTCTGAGAACGTTCTTCTGCCAATCCGCCCACCGTGGATTCGCCTGGGAAGAAAACGGGGGAGGAGGGAGTGGGGAGAAGGGGGGAAGAGGGGGGGGGGGGGGGGGGGGGGGGGAGGGGGGGTGGTTGGGACAGGGCAGGGCACGCCGTAAATGGGGGGGACAAGACACGGATCACAAAAATTACAAAGCTGCTTGCAAATCTATCAACGCTACCTACTGCGCAGGTAGTAAGCCATATAGTACAGTCAAAATGTTACACCATTTCCTTTCCTCAACTTATTGTTGTGATTGAAGGGCTTCCCATTACTCTCACAACCAGCGGGATACACAGAGCCACTAATGCCAATAAGTGACCCTTCAGTTCCTGCTCACTTAAGCGTGTTGTTTCAATGCTAACGCCTGAACGTGCACATACACGACATGCATGCACGCGGCCACATGGATCACCACCTGATGCATGCACCCGAAGGGCCATTCTTTAAATCACATGCTCACACACACATACCTGAACGTGGGCCTCGATCTGAGAGTTTGACGCTGCCAACTGGCAGATCCGGTTGGCTATTCTCGTCAGGTGCCCCATGTACCCGCTCCGTGCAGGCACTCTCGCTGACGCAGCTCGCGGCTGCAACCCGCACACGTATGGAACGACGGAAAGTCAAGGATGAAGGATAACAGATAAGAATATACAATGCAACAACCAGCTACTGCGAGAAACTCAATGTTCACGCCGAACAGACGAATGAAGAAGCGGGCAACAACGATGGAAGGCTGATATGGAGGCAAGAGAAGTACCAGGGCAAACCTCCAGGCATGAAAAAAAAGGGGGCAACAATGACGGCAGGCTGACATGGGAGTGAGGGAGAACTAAGACGTACCTCCGGGCGTGAATCTGGCGCATGGGGGTCGTCATAGGCGGTCATGATTCGGTTGAGGAGGTCACACTCCACGAAGAGATGCTCCAGCAGCAACGAGCTGCCACTCTCCAGAATGGCCATTACCATCCTCTCCACGTGGTGGTGCAAAAAGTTGTTGAAGTGAAATCTGAGGATAAGACGTGGGCAGCCACCAGCAGAGCATATGGCAGAAGAAAAAAAACAACAGAAACCAATTTATTGGTGGACACAAAGGATGGAGAGGAAAGAGGCGGAATATAAACGGTGAAATCAAGGCAGGCGAACGACAACGACAGAAACTCGGGAAGCTCCAAACTGGAGAAAGCTGCACCTGAAAAAGAGATCCAAACAGGTGCGCACGCCGCCGAGCCTCACAACCTCCTGGCGCACAAGCTCGCTGTTGGTGCCCAGAAGCACTCCAATAAACTCCACAATCTGTCAAGGCAATCAGCAAGTGAGTACGGGAGACGAACCAGGCAGGGAATATCAACAGAAATATGAAAAAAAAAATGTACAAAAGCCCTCTAGCTGGCTTTAATCCGTGTACCTTGAGACGGTGAATACCAAGCGGCGGCCGTAGCTCTCCATAGGTTGTTGGGAGGACTTTGTCGTCATTTGAAAGGTCTAGAATGCCAATTAACTCGCCTGAAACAGAAACAAAGAAAAAGACACGAGCGAGCGAGGGAATGAACGCCCAATAACCATTTCTCAACTAATACAGCTCTAAGTCTGAGGGAAACGGGATGCAACATTGACTGTCTGGCTCCAGCTGCTTACCCAGCCGCTGAACCATCCCTTCAACAGTCTCCACAGATATCACTTGCTGCTGCTGATGATACTGCTGGGTCTGCAGCTGATATTGGAGCTGGTTGCGCATGACGCCGGGAGGCGGTGCACGCTTTGGGTCGAGTAACGTGATGCACACGGACAGGGAGTTGATGACGGATGTCATCGATCGCGGGCCTTCCAGCACATGCTCGAAAAACTTCCCAATGTACCTGAACGCACACATCACACATTCCCAACGTACCTAAGTAAAAGGATAGATTTATATAAGTTTTAATTATTTACAGAAAAGCAAATGCTCACTTGGGGGTTGACAACTGAGCGGCCAATGCGGATGGGGCTGTTCTCGCGATGGCCGACAGGCACTCGGCCGCGTTCGCATGAACATCTGACGAGCTCTGCGATACAGAACGAGAGAAAACACGCTATGTTCGAAATCCGTGGAATCAAAATGAATTCGCCAAGAGCAGTCAACTAAACGGCGAGGAAAAGTGACGCTACCTGAGCACTAAGCTGCGACAGCAATGTGTCCAGTAGGCTCGTCTCAGCGAGCCATTCCAGTTTGTCGGAATGATACATCATGATTTGATCATCTGCTCCAACAAGCTTCATCACGACCTGATCAATACGCAATGCACACGCCGTTATACCAATATCCACGACATAAACATGAAAAGCGAAAGTTCCAGGTTCTCCTGAACGACAAGGGGGGAATTTGCGTAGGCTTAATTTCTCCCATACGAATACGTACCTCCATGACGGAAGTGATCCCAATAAGTCGAATCAGGTTATCCAGAACCTCTGGATGCCTCTGAAATAGTTTCAGGTATGCATGCACGACATTTGTTAGCGACTAAATTATTTAATAAAGCAAAGCGAAATCGGAAAAAAAAATCGTGGACACGCACCTGAAGGTATGCCATCACTTCTGGAGTTTTTCGGATAAGGAGAGAAACAGCCACCTGACGAAAAAATAAGAGGAGTTATTAACACAATGGCAGACAAAAGCATGAAGTACAAAACATTTCTCAAAGCATGCTGGTCTCGATAAAGCTTATAAACATACCTTGCTGAAGTACCCTGCAAGAAGGTTTGAATGCGGACGATCTGGATTCGTGAAGGAGAAAAGCAGATCCATAATCTGCATTTCATCAAACCGGGAACTTCAGCGCCTGATTCAACGAGCAGCTATATCCTCAAAAATGTACGTAACGCTTTCCTACTTATCCGGCATTTGAGCGACAAATACCTCTTCTTCCTCAACCACTGTCGTTAATATCTGATCAATGTCGCATGTAAAGACTTCGCACGAAATAAACGGGAATCTGCAAACAAACCAGGAGATCGACTGAGTACTCTCAACAAGTTCCACCCTAAGCTAAGAACGTATGTCGCTGCGCATACTTGAATGTCCGCTTAGCATCTCCATCGTCGGGCGGTGCCTCCACCACATATCGGATCATCTTCTCGACTTGCGGCTTCCCTTTAAGGCTGAAAACATGATGTCCCGAGAAACCTACGATGAGCAACGACGCGCAATCGCAACACAACTAACCATAGATTTCGATTACGATACATACAAGTTAACAAGCCGGTTGTTAAGAGACTTGCATTCCTGAATAAGATCATCCTCGTCCAGTAGCTCCTCAAGGGTATACTGATCTCTGTCAAGAATTAAATCAACCTGGAAATACGAAAATAAAACTGGCACACCCGTCAGATTCTGCTAGTCACGAAGCTAAAACAGCGATCAGGAGAAATGGCTACGGACTGACCGGTGAGGTTGCAGCGAGGCCCGCTACTCGCCAAAACATGTTGACCAACGAGGTGGTAAACCTAACCTAAGGGAATCTGCAGAAACGCCTACCCCTCGGAAAAAAACTAATGCAAATGGTTCGTACTTCTTCCGCCTTAGGTGTTACCCTATGATCTCGTATGCGCTAGCTCGAAAGGCTTCCAGCTTGCTCGAGTTGAAACCCCTAACCCAGAGCTATGTCCTAAGGTTGCTAGGAGTGGATAGACGGCTTGATTGGAGCGGAAACCACCCCCTCAGCAACACCAGCAGCAAGCAGAGCAGTGCGGAAAGCTCACAGCCAGATGAAACATCTCACCCCCTCCCTCTCCTCACCGCAGCTCTCCGACAACTGGGAAGGATGATCGCTTGAAGGCCGTTTGATGCGAGATTTTGCGTGGTATAACGGTTTATCTACACTCTGTAGCGGTTGGGTGAGGTTGGTTCTTATAATGCCCCCTAAAGACTAGAGTGCAGAGGGAGTAACTTGAAAGAGGTCATGGCAAGGAGAGGCCCCGCCTCCAGCTTACCTGCCTGCCACCCAGACCCGACTGCCAGCGCAGCCAAGGACGGACGTACTGAGTCTGCCGCTATGACGGACCTAAGTGCTGGTTCGGGCGAGGTTTGTTTGTGGGTAAGGAAAACCAAAGGTTCGGGGAAAACGCCAAAGGAAGAGGTACGACATTAACTTTTTCCCGACGTGCGAAAAATCGAAGCTCCCGTATTGGTGGTTTGCTACTAGGTCAGCAACATGCTCGGAACGCTGGATATGTTATGCAGAGGGAGAATAGCCCAGGTCATCCACACCTCCTTGTTTTGACCTAACACCAGTGTGAGCAGCATCTCACACTATTGGTTCCCGAGCCTCCGACCACCAAACCAACGCCACGGTTCCCGCACGACATCGCACAAACTTCAACAACGGCTCTCACCACCAGCTCGTGTACTCCGATGGACAAGGCTGCGTTATTGCATGTAACGGATGATATCTCGAAAATAGCTCTTTTCAATGACATCCCTTAGCTGCTCTTCGTACAAATCCACAAAGTACAGCCCACAATAAATGCAAATATAATCATTTTATGAGCAGGTGTATTCAAGGACAGTGTAAGAATAATTCCTTACTCAAACCTAAACACATGAAACAACAAAATAGTAATCGCTTCCCAGAAACAAGTGAACTGCTCCTATGCCGAATCTGCAGGTGGCAAAACTGCCACCAGGTTACGGTCACCATACACGTTGTCTATGCGGCCTGTAGTGGGCCAGAACTTGGCAGCTCTCACCCAAGGAGCAGGGAAGGCTGCTTGCTCGCGTGGGTAGGGCTTGGTCCACTCATCAGCAATCACCACAGAAGCAGGGTGGGGGGCGTTCTTGAGCGTGTTGTTGGCCTTGTCTGCCTTCCCATCCTCAATGGCACGGATCTCCTCCCGGATCGCAATCATTGCATCACAGAAACGGTCCAGCTCAGCCTGAAGAACGCGGGTGATAGGCATACAAGTGTGGATGAAGGGTAAGGGGAGGACACAAGGGACAGGGGCAGGGAAACAACAGAAGGGTAAGGGTGGATTGAGAGTTGGATGGGAACTTGAGTCTGCATGTGTGAGCAGTGCCATTGCGCACCTCCTTGTCAAACCAGACTATACAAGAGTTAACTGATAAACTCAGAGCAGACTTTCAACCATGAAAGCGTACATGAAGCAGGCAGCAGCATGTGCTCACTAACATGAGATTTCCTTCTTGGCAACAGAAGACCCTCAACTTCACACACCAACTCACCTTGCTCTCAGACTCGGTGGGTTCGATCATGAGAGTGCCGGGCACGGGCCATGACATGGTGGGAGCATGGAAGCCGTAGTCCATCAGCCGCTTCGCCACGTCCTCCGGCTCGATGTGTGCCGTGCCCTGGTGGAAGGATTAACATGGAATGCAATCCAGATTACTTCTATGTATCTGGGGCAAGGACCGAGGTCACTCTAGCAATGACTGAGGTCACCACTGCCAAAACAAAAGATAACAGGATTGGAAATGGAATGACCAATTTGTTGACCCCAAGGGTTATCTCTGAGTTTTCACCAGCTGTTTCACCTGGTGTTTCACCTGAAACCCACCTTGAATCCCCTGAGGTCGATGATGAACTCGTGGGCGCAGGTGCCGTTGGCTCCCCTGAACAGCACAGGGTAGTGGCTCTGCAGATTGGTGGAAAAGACAGAAAGATGGAGGGGAGAAGAGGTGAGGCGGGGAGGTGCAAGGGCTCGAAACAGCAGGTGCGGTTCGCACCTCTGAACAGCACCAGTAAGTGGCTTTAGAGGGAAGCAGCACCAGGAAGCGGCACCCACATTATGGCATTGTGAATAAAGGAGATGGACAGGATGATGAGCTGACGGACCACACAGGTAGCTAGTTTCAAGATGCCCCAGCATGAGACAATCCCACCAAACTCCAGCCTCTTGGCCATGTAGTTGGCGTTCAAGATGGCAAGTCTTGAAGCGTCAGTGAGTGAGCCATTGGGCGCCCATCATAGCAATGTACATGAAGGAGATGGGCAGGATGAGCTGACAGACCATACAGGTAGGTGGTCAACGTTCAAGATGTCCCAACTTGAAACTATTCCACCCACCTCCAGCCTCTTGGCCATGTAGTTGGCGTTCAAGATTGCGAGTCTTGAAGCGTCAGTGAGGCCTTGCGCGCCCATCATAGCGATGTACATGAAGGAGATGGGCAGGATGAGCGCGGACCCCCAAGGAGCAGCGGCAATGGCGCCCATCTGCTTGCCGACGGAGCCGGGAGGGGGAGGAGGGATGCCTCCAGTCGGGATCTGATGGGTGGGGAGGGGTGGGGAGGGGTGGTGAGGCATAACATGAGTCAATATGAGGCACATGAAGGAGATGGGCAGGATGAGCGCGGATCCCCAGGGAGCAGCAGCAATGGCGCCCATCTGCTTGCCCACCGAGCCAGGAGGGGGAGTGGGGATGCCTCCAGTGGGGACCTGGTAGGTGGGGTGGATTAGTAGAGGGAGGAGGGACAGTAGGAGAAGCAGGTGAGCGAATGGTAAGGATGATAGCGAAGGGGGGGCGTGGTAAGGAGGTGGGTGAGTGGGATTGGCACAGGACAGGATGTGAGTGTTAAGCCTCAGGAAGCAGCAGCAGCAGCACCCATCTGCTTGCGTGCAGAGCCACAGGCAAGGCACCGTTGGGAATGCAGAAAGTGGCTAGGTGAAACGATGAAGAGGACATAAATCACCACAGGGTGGGTACGAGGCACACGGGACTACCACAGCGTTGGAGGGCAAGAAGAGAACTCACCACAGGGTGGGAGGGAAGGAAGGGAGCAAGGTGTGCCTTGACTCCAATGGGGCCCATGCCGGGACCACCCCCTCCGTGGGGAATGCAGAAGGTCTTGTGCAGGTTGAGATGGCACACGTCTGCTCCTATGTGCCCGGGGCTGGTGAGGCCGACCTGCAGGGAGATAAAGAACAAAGATGTGTTCGGGCCGGGAGAGGGAAGGGAGAGAGGGGGGTTGAGGAGAGGAGAATAGGTAGAAAAGGGTCACCAAGTTGGTTATCCATGGGTGTGTGAGAAGACTGTGGAGGACTGGCCTAGATATTTGATGCTCTCATCCGACTGGTGCGTTCAGGTAACTCCCTGCTCAAAACTCACCTGTGCGTTCATGTTGGCACCATCCATGTACACTTGACCGCCGTTGGCGTGGATGATGCGGCAAATCTCGTCAACACCCTCCTCGTACACTCCGTGGGTCGATGGGTAGGTGATCTGCAGTCATTTAGGGGCAAACGCACGTGGTCATGCACATGGGAAGGGTGAAAGAACTTAGAAGGGGTGGGAGAAAAGGAGTGGGACTGACTGACGAAGAGAACATTGGAGAGGGAAAGAAGGGGGAGCGGAAGGGAGGGAGGGAGGGATGGAAGGAGGGAGGGCGAGGCGAGGGAGGGAGGGAAGGATGGAAGGAGGGAGGGAGGGAGGGAGGGAGGGAGGTGGGGAGGGAGGGAGGGAGGAGAGAGGGAGGGAGGGAGCGAAGGAGGGAGGGAGGGAGGGAGAGAGGGATTGAAGGGAGGGCGGGACGGGAGAGAGGGAGGGACGGGAGGGAGGGAGGGACGGGAGCGAGGGAGGGAAGGCAGGAGGAAGGGGAGGAGAGAAGAGCAGGCATAAAGCACCCAGCTGCCACGAAGTCAGCTCGCCCAGTCAATACGAGGGCAACGAGGTTGTTGTGACTCACGGTTGGTAACGCTTTTAGCAAGATAAGAGAGTAAAATACCCTAGGTAAGGGAGGGAGAGAAGAGCAGGCAAGACCGCATCCTCCATGCACTCACCATGAGGGCAGCAAGGTTGTCCTTGTGTGCTTCTCAGCAGCCGCCTTGAGCTCAGCGATGTTAACATTGCCCTTGTCGTCAGTGGGGTGCCCACTGCCTATTGCCCACTTAAACCACCCTCCCCTACCCACCCACCCCCAAACACGCACTCACCATGAGGGCAGCGAGGTCGTCCTTGTGCTTCTCAGCAGCTGCCTTGAGCTCGGCACTTTTGATGTTGGCCTTGTCATCCGTGGGTGCCCAGTGCCTGTTGCCTACTTCAACCCCCCCTTTCCCTCACACAAACTCACCATGAGGGCAGCAAGGTTGTCCTTGTGCCTCTCAGCAGCCGCCTTGAGCTTGGCAATGTTGATGTTGCCCTTGTCGTCCGTGGGTGCCCAGTGCCTGTTGCCCACTTCAACCCCCCCTTTCCCACACACAAACTCACCATGAGGGCAGCGAGGTCGTCCTTGTGCTTCTCAGCGGCCGCCTTGAGCTCGGCAATGTTGACATTTCCCTTGTCATCGGTGCCGACCGCCACGATCTTCATGCCACACATGGCCGCGCTTGCTGGGTTGGTGCCGTGGGCTGACACGGGAATGATGCACACGTTGCGATGGTGATCGCCACGGGACTGAGTGGGGGCCAGAGAGGGGAAGGGGAACAGTGGGGAATGACAGCGAGAAAGTGGGTAAGGGAAGCTCATGAAGCAGAGCTCGCTGGGTTGGTGCCGTGGGCTGACACGGGGATGATGCACACGTTGCGGTGGTGGTCGCCACGGGACTGGGGGCAACGCGAGAAGGGGAAATGAGGGGAGGGGAGAAGTGGGAAAGAGGAAAGCTCATAAGACCGAGCTCGCTGGGTTGGTGCCGTGGGCTGACACGGGGATGATGCACACGTTGCGATTGTGGTCGCCACGGGACTGAATTGGGTGGGAGGGAGGGGCACAGTGGGAGGTGCCGTGCGCCGACACCGGGATGATGCACACGTTGCGATGGTGGTCGCCACGGGACTGAATTGGGTGGGAGGGAGGGGCACAGTGGGAGGTGCCGTGCGCCGACACGGGGATGATGCACACGTTGCGATGGTGGTCGCCACGGGACTGAATTGGGTGGGAGGGAGGGGCACAGTGGGAGGTGCCGTGCGCCGACACGGGGATGATGCACACGTTGCGATGGTGGTCGCTACGGGACTGAATTGGGTGGGAGGGAGGGGCACAGTGGGAGGTGCCGTGCGCCGACACGGGGATGATGCACACGTTGCGATGGTGGTCGCCACGGGACTGAATTGGGTGGGAGGGAGGGGCACAGTGGGAGGTGCCGTGCGCCGACACCGGGATGATGCACACGTTGCGATGGTGGTCGCCACGGGACTGAATTGGGTGGGAGGGAGGGGCACAGTGGGAGGTGCCGTGCGCCGACACGGGGATGATGCACACGTTGCGATGGTGGTCGCCACGGGACTGAATTGGGTGGGAGGGAGGGGCACAGTGGGAGGTGCCGTGCGCCGACACGGGGATGATGCACACGTTGCGATGGTGGTCGCCACGGGACTGAATTGGGTGGGAGGGAGGGGCACAGTGGGAGGTGCCGTGCGCCGACACCGGGATGATGCACACGTTGCGATGGTGGTCGCCACGGGACTGCAATGCAAGGGATGAGAGGTGGGTGTCGAGTCGAGATAGGTGGGAACAGTTTTGAGACGTCTCAAAACTAGATTGCGATGGTGGTCGCCACGGGTCTGCAATGCAAGGGATGAGAGGTGGGCGTCGAGTCGAGATAGGTGGGAACAGACGGGTCAGGAGTGGAGAGGGGCAAAAGAAAGCAGTGGACACCGGGATGATGCACACGTTGCTTGTGGTGGAAATCGCCAGGGGGCTGGGGGAGCAAGAGGAAAAGGACATGACGGATGTAGACAAGACTCCCCCCCCAGCAGTACATTTATTACTACTAGTACCCATAAGCCCCTACCTGGTGGTACGCGCGGATGGCCATGAGCCCAGCGTACTCGCCAGCAGCACCAGCGTTGGGCTGCAGAGAAACGGAGTCGAAGCCAGTGATCTCCGCCAGCATGGCGCCCAGGTCGTTGAACATTTCCTGAGAGGCAAACAGGGGGTGCGGGTTGAGTAAGGTTGAGTGCGGTTGCAGCTGACTGATTCAATCCGCCAGCATGGCGCCCAGGTCGTTGAACATCTCCTGCGGTGGTGAGAGGTGGTGAAGGGTGGTGCGCGGGGGGTGAAAGGGGGTGAGGGGTGGAAGTGATCAGGGGGGGTGGGCAGTGTGCGAATGGGCGGAGGAGCAGAACTGCACAACCAGCAGCACCCGCGTTGGGCTGCAGGGAGACGGAGTCGAAGCCAGTGATCTCCCCCAGCATGGCGCCCAGGTCGTTGAACATCTCCTGAGGTGATGAATGGAGGGGAAAGAAGAAAGAGAAGTGAGTGAAAGTGATAATTAAAGTCATAAGCCTGCTAGATGCCCTTGGGACTGGTCAAGCAGGGCAAAGGGGTGAATGTTGGCGAGTTCGGGCCATGTGATGGGGATCATCTCGGCCGTGGCGTTGCGCTTCATGGTGCACGAGCCCAGGAGAGGTGACGTTTCACACCACAACACAGGGCATTCATACGGTAATGCCTGCTCCAAAACAGTAGACGACGTGCGTACCTGGTAGCCGTTGGTCTGGTCGAGGGGTGCGAAGGGGTGGATATTGGCGAGCTCGGGCCATGTGATGGGGATCATCTCCGCCGTGGCGTTGAGCTTCATGGTGCACGAGCCCAGGGCGATCATGGAGTGCACGAGGGACAGGTCCTTCGCCTGCAGGCGGTGCAGGTAGCGCAGCAACTCGTGCTCTGAGTGGTAGCTGCAGGGGGCGGGGAAGAGGAGGGGGAGGAGAGGAGGGGTTAAGGCATGGGAAGAGGGGAAAATTCGAGGGGAGGGATGGACTGCAGGCGGTGCAGGTAGCGCAGCAGCTCGTGCTCTGAGTGGTAGCTGTGGAAGGGGGGGAAGGGAGGGGAAGGGACGGAGGGAGGGAGGGGAGGGAGGGGAAGGGAGGGAAGGGAAAGGGAGGCACAAGATTCGAGGAGAGGTCCTTTGCCTGCAGGCTGTGCAGGTAGCGCAGCAGCTCGTGCTCTGAGTGGTAGCTGGAGGGAGAGGGAGAGGAAGGAGGGAAGGGAGGGGAAGGGAGGGGAGGGGAAGGGGAAAGGAGGAGGGAAGAGAGGCACAAGATTTGAGGGAAGGGACAGACTGCAGGCGGTGCAGGTAGCGCAGCAACTCGTGCTCTGAGTGGTAGCTGTGGAAGGAGGGAGGAAGGAGGAGGGAGGGAGGAGGGAGGAGGGGAGGAGAGCGGAGGGAGGAGAGGGAAGGAGGGAAAGGGAGGCACAAGATTTGAGGAGAGGGTCCTTCGCCTGCAGGCTGTGCAGGTAGCGCAGCAACTCGTGCTCTGAGTGGTAGCTGGAGGAAGGGAGGAGGGGAGGCGGGAGGGAAAAGGGAGAAGAGGAAGTGAGGAGGGGAAGAGACGGGGGGGAAAGAGGGGAGGTGGGGAGGAGGAGAGGAGGAGAGGTGGAGAGGAAGGGAGGTTAGAGGCACATGAGGGGGTGTGCGTGGGAAGTAGTGCTTCATGGTGCGCTGCTCGTATCTAGTCTAGAGCCTGGAAGGCGTCTATGGAAGGCGTTGCACTCCACGTATGGGTGAGTGCGCAAGGCACTGCACCTCTCTAGAGCCTTAGGCAGAGCTCCTGTAGTCTCTCTAATACGATTGCGTAAAAAAGAGGATTCCTTGTACTCACGCATTGAAGATGGGGTGAGTGAGGAAGGCGCTCTCTCTCTCCAGCGCCTTGGGCAGGGCTGCGTCCACCTGCGGTGCAATGGACTCCGCTGTGAAGGCAGGCTGGAGTGGAGGATCAGGGGATGGGATAATGGGATGGATCATGGCACAACAGGGAAACAAACAAGGAGAAAAGTCAATCCATGATGCACACCGCTAGGGCACGAAGGGAGCCCGCGCGTTGGGCCACCTGCTTCCACCCTAGACCAATGGACTCCACTGAGAGGGCAGGCTGTGCGGTGGGGTCAGAGTGTAATGGGGTTGAGATATAGCAGCAAAAACGAGAAGAGAAGACTAGACAGCGAGTGATTGAGGTCATGGCAATGAAGGAAGGACGTGCAATGGAGTTTGGTGCAATGGAGTTCGGTGCAATGGAGTTCGGTGTGAATTCACGGTAGGGGGGGGGTCCACGGGAAGTGGGCGGGAGGGGGGGGTGGCAGCATGGAGAAGCACGTCAGAGGACAGTTACGAAAACGATAAATGTGATGCGATGGGACGTGATCGATTTGGCCCAGAATACGTTCGATGCCTGAATGAATGTTTAACTCGTTCCGACCCAGCCCCATCACCCATGCCCCATGCCCTGTGCCCTGTGCCCCATGCCCCGTGCCCCGTGCCCCGTGCCCCGTGCCCCGTGCCCTATGCCCAATGTCCCACGCCAATGGCCTCAAACCCTCGCTCGCTTGTCCCACGCCCATTGCGCCTCACCTGCTTGCCAGCCACGGCCTTCAGGAGCGCGTCCACGTCAGCAATGGTGCTGGTCTCGTCGAACGCAACAGTGATCTGTCATTAGGACGAGAGACAACGGGGTGAGAAAGGGAGAATGTGTGGGGGACAGTACGCGCATGCTGATTTTCTTCTGCTACACTTGTTCGCAACCTTCCTCGTCCTCCATCGATCCCCATCCCATCCATGTTCAAATTTCTTCCATTATCCCTACACGACTCAAGTCGCTCCTAATCTCCCACTCCCTCACCCCCTCAGCATCCCCTCGCCGTGCTAGCACCCCCTCCCTTTTCCATTCCTTCCCTATTCGCTGGATCGTCAACATCCTCCTCTTCTCCTCACCGTGTCAGCGTCCAGCACGCGCAGGGTGAGCAGGCACGCGGTGGTCGATGTCCTTGAGACCAACATCTACTCCTCTCCCCATATCCATTCTAATTTTCTCTTTCCGCTCACCGTGTCGGCGTCCAGCACGCGCAGGTTCATCCCCTCCTTCACCGCAGCGGCCGCCACGTTAGCAGCCTTGCCGCCGCCAACGGTCACCTTGACCGTGTCGAAGAACGGCTCCTTGGCGACGGTGCCGGCGCCCGCCATCTCGACGCCCTTGGCGAAGACCGCCGCGAGCCCGTGCACGCGGTTCGCGATGTCCTTGAGGCCCGCGGGGCCGTGGTACACGGCGTACATCGCGGCCATGTTGGCGAGGAGAGCCTGAGAGAGGACGATGGAGGACGGAAGGGGAGGGGAAGGAGGAGCAGGACGAGAAGGACGAGAGGTACGAGAGGGAAGAGAAGGACGAGAAGACTGTTGGGTCGACTCTAGTAACATTGAGGCCCTCGCGCTTGTGACACGGCGTACACGGTGGGCATGTTGATCAGAGTCAATCAATCAACACCTGATTATTGTCGGAATGTAAATGGATGTTAACACGTATTCCCTGAACTTTAGGTACTTGTGAACACGCAATCATTGGAATTGAAATGCTTGTCAACACGTGATCCCTGACCATAAAGTGCATCTCATACCTGGAACCTGCATTTATCGCTGCCTTCCGTACCTGCGCCGTGCAAATGTTGCTGGTGGCCTTGTCTCGCCTGATGTGCTGCTCCCTCGTCTGCATCGCCATACGTAGAGCTGGATTCCCCTGCGCGTCAATGCTCACTCCGATAATCCTCCCGGGCATCAGCCGCTTGTACTCCGCTGACGTGGCCAGGAACGCCGCGTGGGGACCACCATACCCCATCGGCACGCCGAACCTCTGCGCCGAGCCGACAACCATGTCCGCGCCGAGCTCGCCGGGCGGCCGGACGACCGTCAACGCGAGCAGATCCGTCGCCATGACGACCTTCGCACCGTTTTCGTGAGCCTTGACGACGAAATCGGAGTAGTCGATCAGGGTGCCGTCTGTCGCAGGGTACTGCACGAGCACGCCGCAGACGTCCTTCTTGGAGTAATCGAACGTCGTGTGGTCGCCGACAATGGCTTCGATCCCAAGCCCATCCGCGCGTGTCAGACACACGTCGATAGTCTGCGGGTGGCACAGGTTGGAGATGTAAAATTTGGTCTTCTTCCCTCGGTTGATGTTGAGGCACATGGCCATGGCTTCGGCCGCTGCGGTTCCCTCATCAAGCAGAGACGCGTTGGACATCGGCATTGCAGTGAGGTCAGTAATCAAGGTCTGGAAATTGAGGAGAGATTCCAGGCGTCCCTGAGCAATTTCCGCCTGGTACGGAGTGTACTGGGTGTACCAGCCGGGGTTCTCGAGCAGGTTACGGAGAATGACCGGCGTGACGATGGTTCCGTGGTAACCCATGCCGATGAATGACTTGAGAACCTTGTTCTTAGAAGCCATGTCTTTAAAGCGCTCGAGCATCTCGTTCTCCGGGAATCCCTCGGTGTACTTCCCCAGCTGCATCGGCTGGCGTCTGATGTCCTTCGGAACGGTCGCGGTGACAAGAGCATCGACGGATTCGAAGCCGCAGAACTCGGCCATAGCTTGGGCCTCTGGAGGGGTGATGCTGTTGTGACGGCGGGGGAAAGTGTCGCTAGGCTTCAATGCGTCGACGGAAATGGAACGGAACCCTTGAGCGGCATTCCTGGCACGAATCTCGGCCGCAATGCCGGTGGAGCGAGCGGAGAAAGCTCCCAGCATGCTGGGATGGCCATGGCGAGCGGGAGCGTCGGCGAGGGAGGTGAGAGGCCGGGAGTGGTTCACGACGGGCCGTGAGCCGGTGTTGCTAATAACGACTCCCAGACTCCGCACGCAGCGCATCCATTGCTGTCTGCTGGATGCAGCCATTACGGCAATATTAGATCACTAAAGTGAAAAAGGCACAACGCTTCGGCCGGCCTGACCAACCCTTTCTCTCCAAAACAATTAGGGAGAAAAGGAGATCGCTCCTTATGAATTCCGTCGCCAATCCTCCTCTTCAGCACAGAAATTATTCAGTGCGCTCCAGAATTGCAGAACCCGCAAGCAGGCTGGCCAGAATCCAGGAGCCCACAGACCAAGATGCCCCTTGGGAATTGTGCGAATGTGCTGGTGACCAGCTCTCTGCAGCGTGGACGGGAATTTGGGATAGCCTTGGGGACAGGTTTCAGGCCTGGTTTGTACCTGGTTCGGTCCTAGGAAGGTCTGAGCAACAGCCGCGAGTAATGCAGCCGAGCCAGTCTCCTGGCACCGCACCTCCTCGAGGCTCGGTTTCGCGCCAAAACTTTGTGCAAGAACTTGGTCATGGCAAGCAACAAACAAGGCCCGGTTCGCAAAACGTCACTTCCGCTGATGGTATGGCGTCAAAGAGAGGCTTGGCGTCCACAAGTCATGCCACGTCAGGTGAGCTGTGGCATAAATTGTGCGTAGATTGGCTGAGCGCCCCATATGGGTCATAGTGGCTGACGTGGAGTAATTGAAATGCACGCACCAAGTCATCCACTATTACAACCCGCTTATCGGCAAGATGCAGAGTTACCATGCACACGATGATTCAATACGCGAGTCAATAATGCCTTTCTTTTCTTGCAGAATACAGTAACCTTCATTGCACATTTTGCCATAAATGCTACAGTACCATCTTTAGTAGACTTTCCCTACCCAGTAACTGTAGGTCTCAACACTGATTTAATAGGCAAACATAATAGAAGGAGTAATAGCTGAGAATATTACACACGTCACGCTTGTTGAGAGATGCCTTGCGTATCTGCAGCTAACAGGGTACCGTATGTGTTGGACGAGAATACATTCTTGTGAGGTGCTCTTTCGTCCCGTAATAAATGACTGCAGCAGCAGACGCTGCCCTTTTGAGAAAAGGGACTATGGCCTCAAGCCAAACGTGGGTTATGATTGCAATCATAAGGCCTGCAAACAAACATGACAGGAAAAGGTCAGCTTCATCCAATTACACGCTTCATCTTTCAAACAAATGGGCTTCAGCCGTACAGGAAAGAGCCACGAGATGTGAGAACGGTGAACCCAGGACCACCATTGCAAAGCACACTAGTAGTGGAATCGCCGTAAGCCCTGCCACAAGAACAAGGTGTGAAGAAAAAGAACATGGGAAACAGATGAAGGAAAAGCGGATCCATTCAATCACTCACCGACAAGCAGTAGATTACCCACAGGAATGCGGAAAGGCCTGTAGGCATCTGGTTCTGTGAATCTCAGGTAAATAAGAGCTGAAAACTTCAATGCTGAGGAAATGCAGTACAACACCATATCCGCCTGCCACTCAGCAATGCATGCAAATTCAATCAAGGTTATGTCCATGCATTGCAGCATAACCGTATTCTGAGTACTCACCTCAGCAAGAAGTGTAAACTTGGATCCGGACAGCAGAAGAGTGCAGAAAGCAGTGATAACAAGTGCAACCCAAGGAGTTCCATGTTTTCCTTCAACAGATTGAAAGAACTGGGGTGCCTGCAGAACAGGAGGTGTGAGAAGGCTGCAGAACACCAGAATGGAACAACACCACTTTACCTTATGTGCCACCGCCATTCCATAGACAAGCCTCGAGCTCATGCACAGACGAGTTAAGAGAAGACCAAAGGCGCTGGCGACTCCTCCAAGTCCCAGCCAAATCTGCCGCACAATAACATGAATCCTTTTCTCATGCTGAAACAAGCCATTTTCCGCACATTACCTCTAACGGACGGCCTCCAACACGTGCAGCTATGTCCGTAAAGGTGCCACCTTTCCACAGCTCGAAGTATGGCGCCACACTCAAGCCAACTAAGGCTGGAACGATGTAGGTAACAAGCATCAGTCCCACAGAAACCAGCAACGCCAGAGGATATGATCTTCCTGGATCTTTCACTTCACCAGCACAAGCTCCAGCGGAATCAAACCTGCACATACAAACGCTTAGACAATTTATTCGTGCTAAGGACGCTGAAAAAAAGAAAAGAAAAAAAAAGAAAAAAAAAAGGAAAAAATCTGCTTACCCTGAAGTGTTCCAAAGAAGCACAGAGAGTAACTTCGGCCAATTTAAAGGCTTGGGTGTTGGAAAGCTGATCCATTGCAGATTCAGCTGGGGAATAGCGAAGAAGAACATTGCAACGAAAGGAGCGACGACAGACACCCCAAACACCATCGATGCTTTTCCTGCCAGAGCAGTCTGTGAGATAGAGGATTCTCATGTTACTTGTGAAACACTTCAAAAGAAATTACGTACCCACTATGTCGACTCCGCTCAAGTTGAGTGCGGTCGTGACGGCGATCATTGTCGCTTTCAGAATGAGCGAATATGGCATGGGAATTGCTCCAAAAGGACCATATACGATGTGGCTCAGATAGTCAACGAAAAGGGCTGGATACAGCGCGTTGTCAAACACCCCGCATCCAAACGTCAATACACTGTTGAATAAAGACCAGAATGGTCCAAACGCATGATACACCCATAAAATGTGTCCTCCGCTCTGAGGAATCATGCAAGCCAGTTCTCCAGTCATCAGTGCCAACGGCGCGGACCAAACAAAGGGAATAAGAAGTAGCATCCCCAGTCCCACAAGGCCACCTGAGGCTCCAATTACGTCCTCGAAGCCGTATGGACCCTGAAAACAAGGGTATCAGGAGGGAAGTCTGCACCTACTGAGCCTTTTGCCGTGGTCAAAGATTTCTTACCCCTGTCACCGTGAAGAATAATATGGAAACCAACTGGATAGTTGAGAGTAACGAATCAGAGCTGCTTCGCCGAGAGGTTGCACCTCCATTACTCCAACGTTCACCTTTTCCAACTTTAGCGTTTTCACCCGCAGACTCCGGGATTAGCTTCGACTTATGCTCGCTGTCAAGATCCATTTCTAAGGGAACCATTTGACCACCAAGGATGACGAGAATCTAGCACGTCTAAGCGCCACACTTCATACAAAACACAGAGGTATTTCCAGGCTTCGGGTGAGGATAAGATGATGGTACGTTCTGAAATTGCGGAATTTTGAAATTCAAGTCTCCTGGTTATCACCACGAACCGGTACCTCTGACAAGCGAAGACACTGGACTGGAATTCCAGAGGTATGTCGACAGAGTTGCTTAGACATGTGGACAGAGTTCCTGAGGTATGTGGAGTGTCTGACAATAGATGTCACATGCATGTGTCCGACAAGGAGCTGTCAGCTGATCACAAGCTGCAAACTTGCTTGCCTCTATTTGGCCGGACACCAAAAAAAGAGAAAATCCATCTTGGGGGGTGTTCAAACTTCAATGAGCCGAACACGGTTCATGTCCCTACAGCCGTGAGACATTCTTTTTGCAAGATGTGATTCTTCTGCGGTTTGTCCATGTGAGCACGCTTTTGCCTGGAGGCACATGGTTTTGCATGAACCAAGTTCGTTCCACGATCCACGATAGATCTCGGACCTGATGCATGAACGGGTTTCACTAGCGATCCGGCGGAGAGTTGGAATGAACTGGTAGTGCGAAAACTGGTAACTCACTAGCTGCGACGAATTCCGCTTCGGCAACGTCCCAGCCATTCCTTTCAATTCCTCCAGACCGATCCATAATCAATGAAGCTCAAGGTGAATAGAAGCGGAAAGCATAGAATCAGTCATTAGTTCACTCATTGTCGGTCGAGCTATGGCGACGAACGCGGCAGCCGACGACTGGCTCTCATCGCAGCTGGCCAGCGACGGTCGCAGGGAGGCGGAGATTCTCTCCCGCGCGTGGTTCCAGCTCCGACTCTCCATTCGCGCTCCCAATCGCTTCCCTCCTTGGGACGCGCTGCTGATCACCGCTGCGAGCGACGCGCAGGCTGACCTGTACTCCAGGTACACAATGACAACGCTTCCCCGTGAAATTAATATCGTTTCGAGGATTCTTGAAGCAGTTTTACTTACTCCAGGTAGACGACAACGATATTTTTCACGTCCTCAATGGCGATTTTTCAAACGACCCGTACACGTGTATTACTGCATTCCGCAATTAGTACTACGCAGCGTTCACCCCTCGCGCCCCAGCCCACTGCAGCAATGCGAAGCATCTAGACGCCATTGTAGGGCATTGGCGGTGGAACGTGCAGCTCGCTCCGTCCGCACCGCCGTTTACAGCCCTGGATATTTCCACCAGTGCCCCACTGGCAGCTGGCAGCAGTCGTGACAATGTGCGCATTGCGGAAGGAAAAGCCGTCGTCTGTGAAGGAAGCAGATGTATCATGTAGGTTATCCAGGTTAAGACAAATGTCCTTCCCTGCCATTCGCTCCCTCGTAAACTCTTATTCAGGCAGCTGGCAGCAGCGCGGCACAATGGGCACATTGCGGCCGAGACCATCGTGCTGGCAGTGCCTGACAGGGAGGGCAGGCGTATCGGGTCTGGCGGAGCTCTCACCATCCCTTTCCCTTGTTATGCACCTCTCACTGCTCGTTGTCTCCCTTCTCCTGCCAGGCAGCTGGCAGCAGCGCGGCACAATGGGCACATTGCAGCGGAGACAATCGTGCTGGCAGTGCCGGACAGGGAGGGGAAGCGGATCGGGTCTGGAGGCGCGACCCTGGGAGCCATCCGGGCGTTGAGGGACTATCTGGGGGAGGTGAGATGAGATGAAACCTGCCTTGGTATCCGCGCATGTGTAGGAGGAAGGCAGGGAGAAAGACGGGTGATGTGGGGGAAGGTGTGGGAGACCATCGTGCTGGCAGTGCCGGACAGGGAGGGGAAGCGGATCGGGTCTGGAGGAGCCCACCCTGGGAGCTATTCGGGGAGCCACCCTGGAGGGACCATCTGGGGGAGGTGATACCTGCCTTGTATGGATTCTCTTCTTCTGGTGGTGGGGAAAGCCAGGGGGGGGGAGGGTGAGTGTCCTGACCATCATGCTGGCAGTGCCAGACAGGGAGGGCAAGCGGATCGGATCAGGAGGGGCGACCCTGGGGAGCTATCCGGGCGTTGAGGGATTTTCTGGGGGAGGTGAGACCTGCCTTGGGTTGGCCTTGGGATCCCCGCATGTGTTGAGTTGAGCTATTTGGGTGTTGCGGAATCACTCGGGGGAGGTGAGGCCTGCCTTGTATGGATTTTCCCCTTCTGGTGGTGGGGAAAGCCGGGGGAAGGGCGGGTGGTGTGTGGGGGAAGGCGTGGGAGACCATCATGCTGGCAGTGGGGGAAATGCAGGGGAGGCGGATAGTGACCTTGAAGCGGATGTGGAGGAGCAAGCAACCCCACAATTGGGAGCTATTGGGGAGCTATTGGGGCGTTGCGGGGTTATCTGGATGATAGGGGAGATCTCTGGTGGAGGAATGTGGAGGGGAGGGCGGTGGTGGGGGGCAGGTGGAAGATTGATACGACGAGTAACAGCAGAAGCTTTTTGTTACAGCAAGCGTCTGTCCAGAGCCGGCCTGGCCTTGCATATATGTGAGTCGCTCTTAATAATTCTCAGACGGGTTGATACGACGAGTAAGGGTCTGCTGGTGCACGCATCGGGCGACAGCAAACGCCTGCCATGGTCCAACGCAATTCAAGCCACTCCCCGCTTTCCCTACCCATCCCTGCTCTCTCCTCTCTTCCTCCACTCTTTCCCAGCCCTTCTGCGCCGTTCCCGCTGCTGTCGTGAGCCAATCCGTGTCAAAATCTGCTCTCCCTCCTTTTCTCTCGATTTCCCCATGCCCCCCATTGCCCAGTCCGCCGCTACCCGCCTCCCATCAATGAAGGTGCTACTGGTGCACGCAGGGGGATGCAGCAGGCGCCTGCCATGGGCCAATATTCCCCTCCTTCCCTCTCCCTCATTTTCCCCCTCTTTTTCCCCTGCCCCTTTTCCCCCATTGCCCAGTCCGCCACCCAACGTCTCCCATCAATGAAGGTGCTGCTGGTGCACGCAGGCGGAGACAGCAAGCGGCTGCCATGGGCCAATCCGTGTGGCAAGCCATTTGTGCCCTTCCCTCTCCCTCCTTCGCACTCCCTCCTTTCCTCTCCTTCTGTGCCCCATTGCCCCGCCGATTGACCGTGTTCCAGGCATCATCTGCCCGACTCCCATCAATGAAGGTGCTACTGGTGCATGCAGGGGGCGACAGCAAGCGCCTGCCATGGGCCAATCCTTCCCTTTTCCCCCACTCTCTATCTCCCCATTCCCCCCCATACCCCGTTGCCCCGCCCATCAACTGTGTTCCAGGCATCATCCGCCCGTCTCCCATCAATGAAGGTGCTACTGGTGCACGCAGGTGGAGACAGCAAGCGCCTGCCGTGGGCCAACCCATGCGGCACGCCATTTGTGCCCTTCCCTCTCCCTCTGTGCCCTATTGCCCTGCCTATTGACTGTCTGTCTCCCACAGTCCGCCTCTACACGTCTCCCATCAATGAAGGTGCTATTGGTGCATGCAGGGGGAGACAGCAAGCGACTGCCATGGGCCAAACCGTGTGGCAAGCCCTTTGTGCCCTTCCCTTTCCCTCTGTGCCCCATTGCCCTCTGTGTTCCAGGCATCGTCTTCCCGTCTCCCAACAATGAAGGTGCTACTGGTGCACGCAGGTGGAGACAGCAAGCGCCTGCCATGGGCTAATCCGTGTGGCAAGCCCTTTGTGCCCTTCCCGCTGCTGGCTGGGGACGACCCTGACGGACCCCCCTTGACTCTCTTTGACCACATCCTTGCCGTGTCAGCACTGGCGCTGCAGGCTCTTCCACCCAAGGGTACGTTACTACTACCTTGTTTTCCTCGGCAAGCCCTTTGTGCCCTTCCCCCTGCTGGCTGGGGACGACCCTGAGGGACCCCCATTGACTCTCTTTGACCACATTCTAGCGGTTTCAGCACTGGCGCTTCAGGCTTTGCCATCCAATGGTAAGCAGAACAGGGGGGTTGGCGGTTTGAAGGTGCCTTCGGTGGGTCTCTCTCTTCTATGAAGCCCTTTGTGCCCTTCCTGCTGCTAGCTGGGGAGGGGAGGGACGACCTGACGGCCTCCCCTTGACTCTCTTTGACCACATCCTGGCGCTTCAGGCTTTGACTGTCAGCGCTGGCGCTCCAGGCTCTCCCCCTTACTCGTAGGTTACCAACTAGAGATGTCTCCCTAGGAATGAGACCCTGACCTGACGGACCCCCCTTGACTCTCTTTGACCACATCCTCGCCATTTCTTCTCTCGCGCTTCAGGCTCTCCCTTCAAACGTAAGCTGCAAGGGGGGTCCGTCAGATGGTATGTTGCAACGTGCAAGGGGTTTCTTTGCTGGCCCAACCTGCGCCCCAACTTGTTAATCGTGCCGTTTCCCTTTTCTTCCCAGACGGCACGCTCTTGATAACAGTGGGCGACGTGCTGCCATGCTTCAACGCCTCTTCTACCACATGTGTCTGTCAATATGCACTCTACCATACGGGCCTTACTCCTTGCCGTCCCCCCTCTCATCTCCCTCAGATGGTGCGCTCTTCATAATGACAGGCAACGTGCTGCCATGCTTCAACGCCTCTCGCATCCGCCTGCCCTCCCACGGAGCTCTGGTCGTCACTGCTGCCGTGCCCCTCGATGTGGCCTCCCGGCACGGCTTTTGAGGCGCCTCAAAAGCAGACACGGAGTCATTCGTGCCTCAATTCTCACGCCAGACCAAGGCAATTACAGTGTAGTGTACCCTTTCCCTCCGTGTCCCCTCCTTTGCTCTCCTCAGATGGTGTACTCTTCATAATGACAGGCGATGTGCTGCCATGCTTCAACGCCTCTCGTATCCGCCTGCCCTCCCATGGAGCTCTGGTCGTCACTGCTGCCGTGCCCTTAGATGTTGCCTCCAGGCACGGAGTAATTCTTGCTTCGGACCGAACCAGAAGTGTTGCCTCGGGTCAGACCAGGCACGTTGCCTCGGACCAAACGTTGACACGGTCTGGCTTGAACGCTCAGAAACTGTCAGTTTCTCAGGTGAACCAGCATCAGGACTTGCAGCAGGAGCAGCAGCAGCAGCAGCAGCAGCAGCAACAGCAGCAGCATAGGCAGCAACGGGAGCAGCTGCAGCAACAGCAGCAGCAGCAGCAGCAGCAGCAACAGCAGGAGCAGCTGGAGCAACAGCAGCAGCAGCAGCGGCAGCAACAGCAGCAGGAGCAGCGGCAGCAACAGCAGCAGCAGCAGCGGCAGCAACAGCATGGTATCACATATCACATATCACCGCTGCTCCTGCACTTTGCACGGTCTGGATTGAACGATCAGAAACAGTCAGTTTCTCAGGAGAACCAGCACCAGGACTTGCAGCAGGAGCAGCAGCGGTGGCGGCAGCAGCAGCATAGGCAGCAACAGGAGCAGCTGCAGCAACAGCAGCAGCAGCAGCAGCAACAGCAGGAGCAGCATCGGCAGCAGCTGCAACAGCAGCAGCAGCTGCAAGAGGAGCAGTTGCAGCAGCAGCATAATCGGCAGAGTTCACAGCTGCAGATGCAACAGATTATGCAAATGCAGCAGATGCGTGATCAGCTACCGCAACAGCAATGGGAGCAACAGTTGCCGCTGCAGCAGCAACAGTTTTATCAGCAGCAGGTACAGCTGCTACAGCAACAGCAGCAGCAGATGCAGCAGCTGAAAGAGCAGCATGAGATGCAACAGCAACAGCACCAGCAACAGCAGCAGCAGCAGCAACAGCAGCAGCAGCAGCAGCATAGGCAGCAACAGGAGCAGCTGCAGCAACAGCAGGAGCAGCATCAGCAGCAGCGGCAACAGCTGCAGCAGCAGCAACAGCTGCAGCAGAAGCAGTTGCAGCAGCAGCATTATCGACAAAGTGAAGAGCTGCAGTTGCAACAGTTTATGCAATTGCAGCAGGTGCATGAGGAACTACCGCAGCAGCAGCGGCAGCAACAGGTGCGGCTGGAGCAGCAACAGTTTTATCAGCAGCAGGTACAGCTGCTACAGCAACAGCAGCAGCAGATGCAGCAGCTGAAAGAGCAGCATGAGAAGCAACAGCAACAGCAGCAGCAACAACACCAGGATGCGCAGTGGCAGCTCCAGGAGCAGCATGGGAAGCAGCAGCAACAGCAGCAGCAGCAGCAGCAGCATGGGAAGCAGCAACAGCATGAGAAGCAATGCCGCACAGAATCTCCCGAGTTAGTAGCCGACCTTTTACAGAAGCCGAGTGTGGCAGAGATGGTGGAGAGGGGGGCACTATGCCGCACGGGGGGAGCTCTGCTAGACACGGGGATCTACGCTGTATGTGGTGACACGTGGCGTGACCTGATTGGCCTGGCGACCAGCGAGGAGGATCTGTTAGCAGAGCTGCTGGCGTCAGGCGAAGAGGTGAGTGGGTGGGCGGAGGCCAAGGAACATGTGGTGATGGTGGCAGGTGCTGGCACGTTTTTGTAGTCAACTTGAAACCCAGCTTTCGTGTTTCCGATCCCATGCGCGTTTCTGTCTGTCTGCCTAGAGTCTCTATGCCATGCCACGCCTGGCTCTCCTCTCCTCCCGCCCCATGGGATCCCTTGTGCTTGCAAGTTGCACATCTCTCCCATCCCATGCACTGGTCTTTCTGTTTGAATCCCCTCTTCGTGTACGTATCATGTCTGCCCGTCTGTCCCCGGTTGAGTCTCTACGAGGAGCTGGCAGCAGCATGGGTACCGGCACGCCACGCCTGGCTGTCCTTCCGGCCGTTGGGAATTGGGATGTGATGTGCCTGCACATGTCTTATACCCTCTTCCTGTGTCTGTATCACTTCGAGTCTGTCTTTCTGTCTGCCTCTATGTCTGTCTCCAGCTGAGTCCCTTCGAGGAGCTAGCTGCAGCATGGGTGCCGGAAAGACATGCCTGGCTCGCCACTCGCCCCCTGGGATCCCGTGTGCCTGCACGTCTCTCCCATCCCATGCACGTCTCTCTCTGTCCCCATCCCCTCTGCATGTCTGTTTCCCTATCTCTCTCTCTCTCGCCAGCTAAGTCTCTACGAGGAGCTGGCAGCAGCATGGGTACCGGCACGCCATGCCTGGCTGTCCACTCGCCCCCTGGGGCCACAACTCCTTGCCCACCTCAGCTCGCACTCTATCTTCCACCACTGCTCAGGTAAGCCCGGCTACATGCATTCTGCTTCCCACCTTGCACACATGTATGTATGTAAGCTGCTGTGACTTGGGATCACACCTCCTCGCCCACCTCAGCTCGCACTCTCTCTTCCACCACTGCGCAGGCAAGCCCAGCTGTGTTGTGTGCTATCCAGTGCAGACACTTGTCGTTATCTCTGCATCCATCCACACATGCGTGCATGCATGAGTAACCCTTGGCACGATGCACCGTACACACTTGCTTCTCAGGCCTTGCCTGTTTGTTCAGCAGTGGTATGTACCCTCTCTTCTCCACTCACTTGTATACACCACCGCAACCCAACACCCCTCCTGCCCACCTCCCCTCCCCCACACCATGCCATCCGAGTATCTACGTGAACCTTTGGATTATACCTCATCTTGTTCCGTGTACCCGCCCCCCTCACCAAAGACGAGACGAGATGACCCTTCCTGCATTTCGGCACGTCATCTGAGTACCTCCACCACGTGTGCCTTTCCCAGTCGTGTGCATTTCAGGTCCATACCCCTTCCTTTCCCCAACCCCTCCCTCACCCCCCACCCCAACCACAGGCGATCTCTCCTTCCTGCATTTCGGCACCTCATCAGAGTACCTCAACTCTACCACATGCGCCTTGCTTACCCGTCGCGCGTGCTTCCTCTCCCCTCCCTTCCCATCCGCCCACCCACAGACGATCTTTCCTTCCTGCACTTTGGCACGTCATCAGAGTACCTCCACCACATGCGCCTCTGAACAATCCCCCCTCCCCTTCCCTCCTTCCCCTCCATTCTCCTCCTAACCCCTTTTCCCCTCTCCCTTCATGCAGATGATCTTTCCTTCCTGCATTTCGGCACCTCATCTGAGTACCTCCACCAAAAGCGCCTTTCTTACTCGTGGCATGTGCTCCTCCTCTCCCCTCCCTTCCTATCCGCCCACCCCACCCACAGGCGATCTCTCCTTCCTTCATTTCGGCATGTCATCTGAGTATCTCCACCACATGCCCCTTGCCCATCCACTCGTGTGCTCTTCCAAACTATGACCCCATCTCTTCCCTTGCCATCCATCCTATGATCCTGCCCTTCCCCTACTCCCACAGACGATCTCTCATTCCTGCACTTTGGCACGTCATCCGAGTATCTCCACCACATGCGCCTCGCCTACACCGGGCGAATGCCGCGCCGCCACCTCAGCGCCGTCGCCGCGCCCACAGACTGCCACGTGGCGCAATCTGCAGCGCTCATCTCGTCGCACGTGCCACCTGGCGCTTGTGTCGGGGAGGGCAGTGTAGTCTCTGACAGCTGGCTGGTCCGAGGCACGCGGATCGGCGACCGATGCGTCGTGATTGGCGTAGACACAGCCGCTGCTGCCGCTGCTGCTGAGTCAGCATCTGCCACGCTGGCATCTGCCACGTCAGCAGGAGCTGCTGACGCAGCAACTGCTGAGTCAGCCTCCAGCGGTTCTCCCACCCCTATTGTCACATCGTTTTGTCCTCTTGTGCTGCCAAGCCACATGTGCTTATGGCAGGTACCACTAAAAGGGGGGCGGGAGGTGACCCTCTGCTGCGGTGTGGATGACAACCCTAAGTTGTCGTTTTCTGGGGGAGGCTCCTTCTGTGGCCGACCCTGGAAGCTGTGGCTGAAAGACAGAGGGCTGACGGCGACAGACATCTGGCCAGGTGAGCTGTTCGCTCAGATAAATCTCACCTATAGCCAGCTGCGCTTGTAAGTTCTAATTGTACCACGTAATACCAATGGCTTGGGCCAACACACTTAAACACCGCACTCCCACTCTTCAGGCAGTTTGCCCCGCAGTCTCTCTGCTTTTTCTCCTGCGCTTCCTTCTCCCGTCCCTCCACAACATGCCCTGCACGTTCATTATCCATACCCCATTCTCTTCCCTGCTCCTGCTGCTATGCACCCACTGACTCACTACGCCTCCCCCCTGCCGCATCGTCTCCTCCCATTTTCCTAACCCTCTTTCAGACACAGACAAACTAGGCCGCCCAATTCAACCAAAGCAGGACCTTTGGAATGCCCTCCTCTTCCCCATCCTCCCCTCTGGCTCTGGCCTTCCCCTCGCCATGTGGCTTCTTGGAAGCTTCCCTTCTACTATCACCCAAGCTTCCAACCACACCCCCAGCCAAGCTGTCAGCCAACAGTACGCTGACACGTGGCGCACATCTGACCGCACGTCGCTGGCTCTTCTCCACCGTCAGATCGACTTCCCCGCACTGCTGTCTTCCGCACTGCACCGTCGATCGGTGCTGCTTGCTGCCTTTGCTCGGGCTGCAATAAATGGTGGTGGTGTCTCACCTGCTGCCGCTGGTGCTAATAGTGCCAGTTCTCGTGCTACTGACAGCACTAGTGCTGCTGCAGCTGCTGCTACTGCTGCTGGAGGGTCCCTCGGTCGCAATTTAGCTTCTCTGACACGTCAGCTGCTGCTTGCTGACGTGGTGGACGCACACACCAGTACCTGCCACGTGGGAGAATCTCACAAGAGCGCCAATGCAACCAGCAACAATACAGACGGTGGGGGCAATGCGAGTGGTGATGGTGTTAACAGCACAGGCAGGGGGAGGATGAGAGGAGCCGGGGAGTTGTGTAGGGAACTTGCCGCATCCTTTCCTTCTGTGGGGGGGAGAGAAGCCATGGGACTGTCGCAAAACAGGAGGGCAGGAGAGGATGGAGGCAAAGGGGTGGAAGTGGGTGGAGATAAAGTGGTGGGAGTGAGTGGAGAAAAGGGGGTGGGAGAGGGGGGGAATGAGAGGGAGCAGGGGCAGACGCGGCATTTGCAGGAGCAACAGCAGTGGGCGGGTGTGCCTATGAGCCGTGTGCTACAAGCGAAGCTAGACCTGGTTAGAGCAGTGCGAGGGGTGCAAAGCGAGGGGTTGAGGGGAGTGAGGCGAGTGAGGGGAGAAGGAGAGGTGGAGAGAGGAGCGGAGCGAGAAGGAGAGGGAAAGGAGGGAGAGGAGGGAGAAGGAGAGCGCGAGAGGGAGGGCGAGAAAGAGGGCGGTGAAGAGGAGGAGTTGGAGGAGGGAGTTTGGAGGGCGGTGGCTGAGGAGGCAGCAGTAGCCGTGGGAATGGGAGGGGACGGGAGAGATGATGAGTTTGATTCACCTCAAGACTCGACTCAAAAGCAAGGTGAGATATGTGATGTGGATGGATGCCAGTGTGCAACGAAAGGGTGTGTCAGCCCTTGGGTATGTGCCGACATGGAGCATGTAAGTGTACAATTGGCAAGGACATGTGCCCTGCCTCTTGGCACCACTGCCGGTCACTGTAACGCCACCTGGACATAGCATGCGGGTGGAGCGACACCCCTCCCCTTCCACCCTCTTACACACTCTATTCCGTCACCCCATTCCCTCCCGTCCCAGCAGCCCTCTCTAAAGGCACCACTGTTACCGTGGCGCTACCAGTGCGACTGGATATCATAGGCGGGTGCAGCAACGCGACTCTCTTCCCTGGAGTGAGCTGCTTCCCACCATATTCTCTCTTTCACTCCATCCCCTCCCCGCCCAGCAGCCCTGACTCTCGGCGCCACTGTCACCGTGACCCTACCAGTGCGCCTGGACATAGCAGGCGGGTGGAGAGACACGCCTCCCTGGTGTGACCTGGTTCCAACACAGCTCTATGCCTCACTCTCTCCCCTTTCCACCGCTTCAACCCTCTTCTCTCCCATCCCTACCACACCAGCAGCCCTGCCTCTCGGTGCCACTGTCACCGTGACCCTACCAGTGCGCCTGGACATAGCAGGCGGGTGGAGCAATACCCCTCCTTGGAGTGAGCTGCTTCCCACCATACCCTCTCTCACACTCCATCCTCTCTCCCCACTCCCTTCACTCCAAACCCTACCCTCCCAGCAGCTCTTCCTCTCGGCACCACTGTGACTGTAACCCTACCAGTGCGCCTGGACATAGCAGGCGGGTGGAGCGACACTCCTCCATGGAGTCTAGAGCGGTGCGGAACGGTGCTGAACATGGCAGTGCTGCTGGAGGGGAGAAGACCGGTGGGCGCCACTGTGACTGTTGTGAAAGAGCCTGGTGAGTGCTTGACTTGAACCTTGAACAGTAGACAGTTTAGTTTGAAAGTCAGTCTTTATGTGGAGTCTAGAGTGGTGCGGAACAGTGCTGAGCATGGCAGTGTGGTTGGAAGAGAAGAGGCCTGCGGGGGCCACTGTGACTGTGGTGAAGGAGCCTGGTGAGTGCTTGACTTGACGCTCAGTGGACTCTCAAGGAACCAAAATTTCGTTGCAGATTCTAGAACAGTGCGGAACATGGCAGTGCGGTTGGAAGGGAAAGGTCACAGGTGTCTTAATGAAGGGGTGTCATGGTGCGGTGCTATTGTGACAACTCACAGGCATTTCTACTCTCTTCAACTTCCCCTGTCGTTCTTCGTGCAGGTTTGCTTATGCAGAACTAGCACAAGGCTTCTGCGTCAACTGAAACATCACCTCCCTCACCCCTTCCTGTGCTGCCAAGCCACCTCCCTTACTCCCTTTGCGAAGGTGTTCTAATGGAGGATGGTCATGGCGCCTCCTTCCACATTACTGACCCAGCCACCATCTTCCACCACCCTGTTCATGACTCACTCACAGGCAATTCAAATCTCCAGACTTCCTCTTTGTTTCTTGGCATAGGTGTTGTGTTCCTTCTCGTATCCCCACCCTCCTTTCCTTGTGTGTGGGCCTGCCCTCACTCTGCCCTCTCTTTCTTCTTGCTCCTCACACAGGCGTTCTAATGGAGGACGATTTGGGGGCTTCCCTCCACATACCTGATCCAGCCACCATCCCCACCCACCTCTCGCCACAAGGACCCTTCGTTATAGTAAAAGCCGCCCTCCTCGTCACCCGCATATCTACCCTCCTCTTCTCCTCCTCGTCCTCCTCCTCACGTGTGGGTCTGCATATCCGAACCTGGGCGGACGTTCCCAGGGGCAGTGGTCTCGGCACGAGCAGTATTGTTGCAGCTGCTTTGGTGCGAGCGCTGCTGGTGCTGATCCGAGGGGGAGGGAGAGGCAGGACCGTGGGAGAGAGTTCTCTTGCAGCAGAAGAAGCACCTGACGCAACGGAGGGGGCACCTGGGGCAGCAGAGAAAACACCTGAGGAAGCACCTGGGGCAACAGAGAAAGCACCTGAGGAAGCACCTGAGGTGACGGACGAGGAAGTGAGCCGGCTGGTGCTGCTTTTGGAGCAGAGGATGGGCACGGGGGGCGGGTGGCAGGACCAAGTAGGCGGCCTCTACCCGGGAGTCAAGTGCACCTCCAGCCTGCCCACCCGTCCCATTCGTCTCGTAGTCGACCCGCTGCCTCTGCTGCCGGCGTTCCGCTCTGCCCTGCAGCAACGACTCGTGGTTGTTTTTGTGGGCCAGGTGAGACGTCTCTAGTTTGTTTGGGTCCACGTGGCTTGTAGCATGCTCAAGAACGTGGGGAGCAGCGGATGGGCACGGGGGGCGGGTGGCAGGACCAGGTGGGGGGACTGTACCTGGGCGTCAAGTGCACCACCAGCCTTCCCACTCGCCCCATTCGTCTCGTAGTGAACCCGCTGCCGCTGCTCCCGGTGTTCCGCTGTGCCCTTCAGCACGCCTTGTGGTTGTCTTTGTGGGCCAGGTAGGTGAGACCATTTGTGTGGGGAGTCCTTGGCGTGAAGGTTGACCTTGGCTGCTGCAGGATGGACCTTGTGGCTGTGTTTGTGGGCCAGGGAGTGAAACCCCTTCAGTGTTTTTAGTCCGCGTGGCTCGTGACATTCAATAATTTCCGCCAAAGGGGAACCTTTTTACCTTTTACAGACGCCACGATTCGTTGTTGATATCTTACTTTTTTGTTTTTCACCCATTACTGATCGATACCCAGGTGCGGCTGGCGCGTAACGTTCTGAAGAATGTGGTAACCCGTTACCTGCAGCGGGACTCACGCCTCATCTCCGCCATCCAATGGCTCACAGACCTCGCCGAGATCGGCCGCCGTGCGATCTCAACCGCCGATCTCGACCTCCTAGGGCGTGTTCTATCCCACACCTGGGACCTTCACCAGGAGCTGGACCCACACTGTAGCAACCCACATGTCGACACGCTATTGGCCGCTGTGGAGCACTTGAGTTGTGGGGCGAAGCTTGCAGGGGCGGGAGGGGGAGGCTTTGCGATGATCATGGGGAGGAGCGAGGAGGCTGCAGAGGAGATTAAGGGGATTCTGAGCCGCATGGGCGAGCCTGTTAGGGTGTATGACTGGGCTGTTGCTGTGTGAAGGGAAGGGAGGGGCTTAGCGATGATCATGGGGAGGAGTGGGGAGGCAGCTGAAGAGACAAAGGGGATTCTGAGCCGCATGGGGGAGCCTGTTAGGGTGTATGACTGGGCTGTTGCTGTGTGAAGGGAAGGGAGAGGCTTAGCGATGATCATGGGAAGGGGCGAGGAGGCAGCTGAAGAGTTGAAGAGACAAAGGGGATTACGAGAGGCATGGGCGGGCCTGTTAGGGTGTATGACTGGTCTGTCGCTGTGTGAAGGGAAGATGAGCCGCGTGCAGTGCATGTGCACCGCTCTGGTCGATGCGCTATTGGCTGCTGTGAGGTGTTTTGAGTTGTTGGCCAGGGCTCGCAGGGGCAGGAGGGGGAGAGTTTGCGATGAGAGGCATGGCGAGCCTGTTAGGGTGTATGGCTGGGCTGTCGCTGTGTGAAGGGAAGGGAGAGGCTTTGCGATGATCATGGGAAGGGGCAAGGAGGCAGCTGAAGAGACAAAGGGGATTTTGAGAGGCATGGGCGAGCCTGTTAGGGTGTATGACTGGGCTGTCGCTGCGTGAAGGGAAGATGAGTGGAGTTTGGCTCCACTCCACTCTGGTTGATTGTAGAAGGGATTTTATTCCATGGATGAGCCTCTGAGGTGGATGAGCCTCTGAGGTGGATGACCTGACCGGGTTGTTTGTTGCCATGTGAAGAGTTTAGGTTGCTGTGCTTACTTCTTGCCTCCTGGTAATAGTTCACTTCACACTGGCAGTAGCGTTTTGATTTACCGTACATGGGGGATGCCTTTTACACTTCATGGGTGAGGCTCTTACGGTGTGTGGCTGACGGCACTAGGCGGTTGCTGTGTGAGCTAAAGAATACGTGTTACCGTATGGCCCCGGATATAGGCGCCGTCCGATTAAAGGCGCTGGCGCTTCTATCTGGAGCATGGCGCTTATGGCCGGAATTCGATTATAAGCGCCCCCCCTGTAAAACCCTGATACCGTCTAACCCCGGATATAAGCGCCACGGCGCTTATAATAAAACATGTTTTTTTGGGGGTGGCGCTTGTAATTGAACAACGGCCATAAGCGCCGGCGCTTATATCATGGTAAAAATGAATTTGTATTTTTTTGTATCAAATCAAAGCCCGTAATAAGGCCAACAAGATTGTGTAACGTGCGCGTGGCATCATGCATGAAAACCCGCCGAAAACTGCCGCGCTTCGGTTTCCAGCCGCACAAAGCCCGTCCAGGAGCAGCGCACCTGCCAGCGCTGACGTGAAAGATGCCTTGCGGCCCAATCAGGCTTTCATGCGCTGGGTGGCAGCTGCAATTCACCCGAACCATCTAGAAGCGGCTGGAATGCCCTGCCAGCGCAGCATCGTGCGTGGCGAGATACCCTCCTCTCCGGGTTCAGACAGGGGACACCCGTCTCTCCACGACGAGGACCCCGTGGCGCTAGCCAGAAGGGGTCCCTTTGAATCCTTCATTTGTTCATCCATTCATTCAGTTTCCCGTTCTTGGTTCTTGGCCACTCTCGCCATGCTGCGGAAGCCATGGCGGAATTCAGCGGCACGCACTTCTTGTTCAAGAAAAAGCCTACGCGCAGGCCCGCGTTTAGAGTAGACGCAGACGGGTGGTACTCCCGTGTCCCACCATCACCACCAGAGCCACCACAGCCTCCTGCGCCTCCTGCGCCTCCTGCTCCTCCTTCGCCTCCTGCACCTCCTGAGCCTCCTGTTCCTCCTGTTCCACAGTCTACTCAGGGTCCTGTGCCTCCGCTACACGCTGGAGCTGAGCCCGTGCTCACGCTGCTGCTCCCATCGGCGTTTGACGAATTCCTCTCCGAACCAGAGTCTGACAAGGCGCAAGATGAGGAGGTCGAAGTGGAGTACGTGCCTAGTTCACGGCGGGGACAGCCTGACGATTGCCCGTGGGACGAATCTGTAGTCGGCGCTGACGATGATGTTGCTGAGGAAGCTGACGCTGACGCTGAGGAAGCGAGCGGCGCTTACGGCGGCGAGGGTGGCACGGAGGCGAGCGCCGGGGGCGCCGCCGAGGGCGGCTCCGCTGAAGATGTTTTTCCAGAAGGCGTTCCCGGCGACGATGCCGACGACGGCGTGGAGTACTGGTCTCGCGACGGGCTTCCCGAGACCTTGCCGATACCTTCCTATCCCCCGATCAATCGCAAGCGACCCCACCCCTCTACCCAGAACCGTGATGCCCACCCCCCCTCTCCCAGGCACAAGCTCACCGACCACAAGAGGCATGGTTACACCGCCGCGGAGAAGTTGAAGTGGGTTGCCAAGCTTGCTTTGGCGGTGTCGGTGCGCTCCTTGGCTCGCGAGAGCGGAATCCACCCCAAGTGCCTCACCAACTGGAAGCGGGCGTCTGAATTCCTCAAGGAAGTTCACTCCGCTCGGAAGGGCATGCACGGCCGCGGGCGAGCGTCGTGGTACCGGCCTATGGAGTTGAAGGTGTACGCGAAACTTCTCGAGTGGCGCCGCAAGGGAACCGCCGTATCAGTCGGCCGCCTGCAGGAGTGGTCGCGGGAGTACATGAGGCTGCTGTACCCGGACAAGCCGTGGAAAGGAAGCCAGAGGAATCTGAGCGTCCGCATGAAGACCCGGGTTGCCCAGAAAACCGCCGCGCGTAAGAGTTACCCCGTGTACTTTGCCCTGTGATTTTTAAATTGTTGTACTAACACCCGCCATGTGTGTCCGTCCTCCCTTCCACCGCCCTTCAGATGTCGCCGAGCAGTGCAAGAGCTTCTGGAAGTTCGTGCGTGCCAAGCGTCGTGAGCGCGGCATCGACACCGCGTGGATCATCAACGCGGACCAGACGCCGCTCTGGCTGGAGATGCCCGCCACCACCACCGTGGATGAAACGGGTGTTCGCTCGGTGCCTATCAGGAGCGCGGGCTATCAGAAGCAGCGTGTGACCGTGATGTTAGCGTGCACGGCGGACGGATTGAAGCTGAAGCCGTGGGTGTACTTCAAGCGCAAGACCGTGCCTAAGGGCAATTTCCCACCCGGTAAGTCAATACGGTAGGTGCACTGCTCGTTAACTGCGCCATGCTTCCGACTGCGAATTCTAACTGGTCGAACATGATTCCTGCAGATGTGGTTGTGGCTGCACAAGAGAACGGGTGGATGGACTCCGCGGGCGTCGTTCGCTGGCTTGAGGAGGGCGTCAAGCCTTTCTTGAAGCCCAAGTTCGGCAGACACGCCAAGAGCTCGATGCTGGTGCTGGACTCTTACCGCGGTCACCTCACCCAGGAAGTGAAGGACAAGCTCCGCGAGATGAACTGCGTGCCGGCAATCATCCCGTCGGGCTGTACGGCGGAGGTACAGCCGCTAGATGTCTCCATCAACAAGAGCTTTAAAGCGTCGGTCCGCCAGCAGTACCAGAGGTGGTTTGAGGCAGAAGGTCAAGAGCAGCTGACGGCAGCAGGTATGGAATGAGCACGGTATTGTGTTTACCCCCCCCCTCCCCTTGTTTACGGTATCTTTTGTTGTTGGACTAACGGGTTTCCACCGTTCTCCTGTAATGTTTCAGGGAATTTGAAGAAGCCGCCTGCGGAGGTCGTCCTGAGGTGGATATCTCAGGCCTGGAAGTCAGTGCCGGCCGAGCTGATAAAGCGATCCTTCCTCACATGTGGCATCAGCAACGCGCTCGACGGCAGTGAGGACGGCCTCGCCATGGCGCACAGGCGGAGCCAGCTGACAGCGGAAGTGGATGTCGACGATGACATCATCGCCGATGGGTTTTTTGGGAACAACTGCCAGGAGCCCGAATCTGACGATGAGGAGACTTGTTAGATAGAAGTGATGTTGCTAGACTTGCTGTTTCGGGTCACTGATGTTGTAGCTGCTGTCTAGAAGTGTCATGTAAGTGATTTCAATGTAATTGTTTCTTAAAAGACTTATAATAATTTCAAGGGTGGCGCTTATAAAAAGTACAGAAATCTCAGGGGGGGCGCTTCTAATCGAGGTCCGGCCATAAGCGCCATGCTCCAGATAGAGGCGCCGGCGCCTATAATCGGACGGCGCCTATATCCGGGGCGATACGGTATATTATAAGCGCATGCCAATTTTATTTTTCAATCATGATTAAAACGGTAACGAATTTCAAAAATTTAGGGAGTCAACACCCCCATTTTCACTTTGTTTGACTTTCGAGGACCTCCTGGTTGCGCGTCCAGTCAGTATGAGCTGGCACGCGGGCAAAATGACGTGCCAAAGCTCTGTGCACCGTCAGAGAATCGCCCTCGCGCGATTCTGATTCTGGACCCTGTAAAATTACGATTCGATTCAACTTACGAGACTGAAATGTACAATCTGGTGCGTTTAAGTTGTATTTCTGTATTTGTCATTATATAAGCGCCGGCGCTTATGGCCGATATTCAATTACAAGCGCCCCCCCATAAAAAAACTGATTTTATTATAAGAGCATGTGCGCTACTATCCGGGGTAATACGGTAGGTCTCACTCACACTATTCTGGTGGATCCAAATGGGGAGGCTTTCTCAATTCATTGTTTTAGCCTATAGGGTGTACCACTAAACCTTTGTGGATTGAAAGCGTGCTCGAATTGGCCGATAAAGAATTCGCCAGGTGGCACATGGTCCCATGTTCGCTTCGCTCCAACCGAGCTGTTACGGTACGAAGTCTTGGAAAGTCGCATTTAGGTCGTTACAACCAGGAATGCATTCGCTGAGCTCCCCCCACAAACCTTTTCCCCCTTTAGTACGGTAGCCAGCGAACGGACACCTGCTCAGGAGAAGCCTTCGAACAGATACGGACCGCCTGACTCGTTAGAGAAGTGGTACGACATTTTGATAGTCTAGACAGACGGAATAGATAACGTGATATCTTGGTCTACTATTACTACCAATGCCACCGAGTACTGAAGATAGAATTGAAAGCCCTGAAGAGGTGAGTCCGGAGCGGCGGAACGATGCGGCAGACAGAAAATAAGGACTCGTTGTTCAGTGTTCCGATAAGGACCAGTTTGTATGGCGACAA